TGCAAGACGTTATAAAGATTCATTAACAGGCTTCTGGTTTCCTTCAAACCACAGAGTAATATCTCACATGTAGTCAAATTCTGGGGAATATTATGACCTTTTACACAATGTCTGATATGAAATAAACCTTATACAACAAAATTCTCAGAGCTTTCGTTTTCATACAAATCTAATTGTATTTATCATGGTTCCATTAAAAGAGAAACCCATCATTTTAATAAAACCACAGTCCTCCCATAAGACAAAGCTTCCAAGTATATTTACCTTATTAGATCTTCCATTATGAAATATGAGTGCTAATGGAGAAACTTTTAGCATTCAAACTGGGTAAATTATGAGACCACTAAGAGTTCCTTTTTTAGCAGCCCCTGGCCTTTATATTTCATTATAAAATTTAAAATCTTAGTGGATCCCAGGATTTTAGCATGCTGCCACAGGGAGCAACCCTATTTACAGAAATTTGGCATAAAGCAAACCAGTGTGAATTAAGCTGGTGTAAAGTTACACATTAAATCTGAATCCCCTCATCTATTCCAGATTTGGTGACACCTTGACATCTTTCTTAACATTCTGATTACAAGCTGCCTAAATTTCTCAAATACCATAGTTTGAAAATGAAAAATAATAATAATCATGGTCTGTGTCAGTTTAAAATAATGGTTTTACTTACAAACGTCAAAGGCCAGATTCATGTGCTTTCCCATGCAGCAGCAAGAAAAACACAGTTACAGAACTTGGTAAGAACATTTCTAAGCACATGGTTAGGACTTGGACTGATCAGCTCATGCATCCTGCCTGGTTGGATTCACATGGTTGAAGAGGGGAGTTAACAAAGAGATTTCTTGACCCTTCATCTTTTTTGCTAAATTTGGCTGCGGTGACTTTGATGTATGGTATCACATATACAGTATAACACAAGGAAAGCTTGCTGGAGCATGTCAGTGGTCCATCTCCATCCTCTTCTCAGTTGACTAAGCCTATATGCTGAACATAAAGAGGGCAGGGCTCATATAGCATTAACATTCCAACAGATCTTACTTCCCACTTAGATTTCTATGGGAGTTCCCAAAGTCATCACATTGGGTTCCAGCATAGTCAAGTCAAGTCTCTGGGTCTTCCCAGCTTCAGATTAAACTAGCTCTAATTAGTCCCTGGTCTAATATTCTTCTACCCCTAGGACAGTGGTTTTCAACCAGTGTACCATGGCACCCTGGGGTGCCTTGAATGATGGTCGGGGTGCCACGGGCAACCCTGTCCCTCTTTCCTTTCCTCCCTCCTCTGATGCCCTCTCGCGTCTCTGCTTCCAAAAGGCTTCTGCAGCTGTTTATTGCAGAAGCCGTAGCTATTAAGAGATGGGAGGCTGAGCAAAAGAGGCTGAGGGAACACTCCACAAGAGAGGGTGTTCAAAAAAGGGTGAGAGGCTGCCAGCTCTGCAGGCCAGGGGTGACATAACTGGGCTCCTGAGTCCCACAGGGGTGCCGCAGAAAGAATGTAGTTGGTTAAGGGAGCCATCTCTAGGATGGTGTGGCATTCAGCCAGGTTGGGGGTGGAGAATGCCTTGTCCTTCTGGAAGCATCACTTTGTGGTGGCAACATGGTCAACTCTTTAGTCATGTTGAAAAGGATTCTTTAACAGCCGTTCAGCAGTTCCTTTATTCTAGAATACTGTTTTACAGTATTTAAAGCCACAGATTTAGATTGGACCCAATGATATTCATACCATACTAATTTTATTGTTTGCTATTATTATTGTTATTGTTATTATTATTATTATTGTTTAATATTTAATAAAAATTATTATATTTAACATAATGTGTATGCCTCTTAAATTTAAATAAAACCTCCAAATGGTTTGCAAAGGATATACAATATATATTAACACTGTAAATAAAAATCAAGGTTAAAAACAAGTTTATAAAAAACAAAGTGAGTAAACTTAATAGTTAAAAGTATACTGTACATTCAAAGCGAAAATTATTTTATATTTGGTATTTAATTTTGTTAGGACACTTTGAGCTTTTATTGTACAAAATGACTAACCAAATTCATAATTAATATTACAGATTAATAATTTTACCACAACTGAGCCTGGGTTACAATGTCATTTTGCAACAGAAACCAAATGCGCTTCTTTCGTTCCTCCATTCTCTTCAATGAGTTGTTTATAAATTTTGGAGGGCAACGAAGCAGCAAAAATCTGCTGAAGCTTGTTTATAAGTACTGTGTCAGTAGGCTGAATAATATTTTGATTACCCCTTTCTTTAAGCAATAAAGGGACAACCACAATGTTTTGAATTGTGGGGAGAATTAAAAATAATCATCACACACAAAACTGTGATCAGTCCATAGCAGCATTTTCAACATGTTCAATAGCTATAATTCAGGGAGAAGCAATTACAGGGTATTTCGGTTGGGTTTTTTATTCCTATGTTTCTGTCTTTCTTGAGCACCAAAGCAAGTAAACACAACCACTAAGTACTCCTAGCCTTTGATATTCAGCACAATATCCTTAACTCGGTGCACTGATATCAGCTAGTAAAAGAAACTGAAATCCCTACAAAATTGAGCATACTTGCCTAAAAATCTTATGAAAGGTGGGAATTTTACAATAAGGAATGCAAGCCTAAATGGAATAAATTCAATCCAATTAGTATTTCTTTGCAATAGCGAGTGAATTTGGAAAATGCTGTATCGTTTTCAAGTATGATTGCAATTACTTGTGAACCTTAAATGTGGTGTCTAATGAACTGGACGTGACGTAGAGATAACTTTTCCCTTTTCACCCATGTCACGTTACAGCAGTGAGTTAAAGCTAGTGTGGTTGTTGTTGTTGTTTAGTTGTTTAGCCGTGTCCAACTCTTCGTGACCCCAAGGACCAGAGCATGCCAGGCACTCCTGTCTTCCACTGCCTCCCATAGTTTGGTCAGACTCATGCTGGTGGCTTCGAGAACACTGTCCAACCATCTCGTCCTCTGTCGTCCCCTTCTCCTTGTGCCCTCAATCTTTCCCAGCATCAGGGTCTTTTCCAGGGAGTCTTCTCTTTTCATGAGGTGGCCAAAGTATTGGAGCCTCACCTTCAGGATCTGTCCTTCCAGTGAGCACTCAGGTCTGATGTCCTTAAGAATCCATGGGACTCTCAAGAGTCTCCTCCAGCACCATAATTCAAAAGCATCAATTCTTCGGCGATCAGCCTTCTTTATGGTCCAGCTCTGACTTTTCCCTTTTCCTCAATGTTATGTTACATCAGTGAGTTAAAGCTAGTGTGGTAGATGTGTGATTTGAGTTTCTTTGCTTTGTTTTCTTCCTCCTAGCTTTTCGGGCACTGAAGCTCTCCTCCCTTTACCCTTTTAACTCTGCACTCAGCAGAGCTGTGTTGCTTCCAATAACCACTCAGCCAGAACCTTCTTGTGCCTTGCCTTGCCTGCTTCCCACAGGCATCTGGCTGGCAGCTATGGGAGCTGGATACTGGATTGGGCCACTGGCCTGATCCAGCAGGCTCTTCTGTTGCCCTGATGCGAAATTGGTGAATTAGATATTTGTCCAGAATAGACAACCAGATGCCTAATTGCAAGGCATGCACCATGCCAAGTATGAAGATGGATGCATCTGTGTCAGAATAACACAATTTCCAGTCAGCCGCCTATCATGGGGCTAAAATACATTTTGGTAATGCAAGCCATCCATTTTATTTACATGAAAGTCATCCTGTAACAAGCCCTTGTTATCCTTTATGCCTCTTCCCTCCCGCTTAAAAAAGAAAAAGAAAAAAAGACTACAGGCCATTGTGGATTATTATTATTTGTTTTTTTTTAAAGAAATAATAAAAATAAAAGATGAGTAGAACATATTTATCAAATGTATCTCCTGAAAAGACAGATTAATGGCCAGCTGTTGTGCCAAAGTGAAGAAGAGATGGATGGCACACTTATAAAGTGTGTCGAAACTTTCCTAAGCGCTGTGCAGATATTAAAAGGATAAGGCAGTCTCTGCCACAGGCTCATTATCTAACAATCGTGATACTGGATTTTTAAAAAAAGCAATGAGAGGGTAAGAGGAAGGCAAACACTGGAGCAGCTGCACCTTCTTTGGCCGAGGGTATCATAGAATCATTGGGATGCGGGTGGCGCTGTGGTCTAAACCACTGATCAGAAGGCTTGCTGATCAGGTCAGCGGTTCGAATCCCCGTGAGTTCCTGTTGTTCGGTCCCAGCTCCTACCCACCTAGCAGTTCGAAAGCACGCAGTGCAAGTAGATAAATAGGTACCGCTCTGGCGGGAAGGTAAACAGCGTTTCCGTGCGCTGCTCTGGTTCACCAGAAGTGGCTTAGTCATGCTGGCCACATGACCCGGAAGCTGTCTGTGGACAAGCGCCGGCTCCCTCGGCCTATAGAGCGAGATGAGTGCCGCAACCCCAGAGTCGTCCATGTACTTTTACCTTTACCTATCATAGAATCATAGTGTTGGAACTTAGAAGGAACCTTAAGGATCATCTAGTCCCATGGTTCCCAACGTGGGGCACACGCCCTACAGGGAGGCAATTTGATTTTTAAGGGGGGCAATTCGAGAATGAGTTATTAACAGTGAATGACATGTGAGTAGTTCACTTTTTGAATAATAAGAATTATATTGGGGTGGGGGTGGGGAAACCACCAGGATTTTAGAGATGCTTAGGTGGGAAATGGCCAAAAAAAAAAAAAAAAAAAAGTTTGGGAACCACTGATCTAGTCCAACCTACTGCAGCGCAGGAATCTCTTTGCCCAACGTGGGGCGTGAACCAAGGATCCCGAGATTAACAGCCTCGTGCTCTACTGACGGAACTACACCTTTCCACGATGCTTGGCGATGGAGAGAGGCGACGAGTCTAAACCAGGAGCACGATCATCCTAGCTCTTGGGCCTCCTCGATGACTTTGCATACGGTCGTGCGCAAGAGGAGGCGGAGACCCACCGGGAGAGCTGCTCCCTCGGGAGGCAGCTTGTAAACAGGATGCTTCCTTCTGATGCGCTACTACAGGGGTGGCCAACTCCGAAGTGACTGCGATCTACTCAGAGAGTTACAAACTGGCAGTGATCTACCCCCTTTTGGGGGGTTCAGGTCAAAGTTCTTGAGCTTTTTTTTAGGAACGAAAGCCGTTTTTGGGGTTTCAGGTGAAAGAGTTGTTGAGCTCTTTTTTTAGGGAGGAGGAAAGCCCCGTTTTTGGGGGTGCAGGGAGAAAATGATGAGCTTTTTTTAAGGCGAGGCAAAGTTGTTGAGCTTCTATGGGGGGAGCCGGTGATCTACCAGTGATCTACCACAGACGTCCAGTGATCTAGCGGTAGATCACGATCTACCTGTTGGACGTGCCTGCGCTACAAGGGGGAAAGCGAGGGGGCGGGCAGCAACCGTGGGGCGTGGCTGCCGAGGATGGTGCGCCTCGCATCTCGGCCGGGCGCGCCAGAACTTTTCCTCCTGCGCCATGTGATTTCCTCTCTCTCTCTCTCTCCTCCACCCCTTTCCCCCTTCTTTCTTCCTCGACAGCGGGAGCCGCGCAAACTTTTAAAGCCCCCTCCTTTTTTTGGCAAAGGCTGCGGGCAGTGACGACTTTCGGAGGGGTGGCGGCGGCGGATCTCGCTGGTTGACATAGTAACTCCTCTCTCTGCTCGCCTCAGTCGGTGTCTGAGGGGCTGCTCGGTTGCTGCCGCCGCCGCCGCCACCGCTACCTTCATGGACTGCAGCGAGCGACCCCGGCAGCAAAGCGAAGGCGAAGGGCTGCTCGGGGCTTCGCTGCCTCCGCTGGAGCTCCGGCGACCCCGGCTCCTCCTTCGCCATGGGGACACCGCGCTGCCCGTAGCTGCGAGCGGCGGGCGCGCCAAGCAGCCCAGTCTCCTCCTCGGCGGCGGGAACCCCGGGGCCACTTTTTCTCCTTATTTCTGAAGGAAAGGCAGCAGCCCCGAGTGCGAGGAGCGCCCCACTCTCCCCCCCTTTGTGTGTGTCAGGTTATATATATTTTTTTTGGGGGGGGGATCATCCTTTAAATAATAATTCGAGGAGAAGGAAACGAGGGGCTTTCTCAGGGACGACGACCCCATCCAAGAGCGGGGTGAAGAAGCAGCAGCAGCGCCATGAGCCAAATTGGCCAGCCGCCCTTCGGGCCTCACGGCTCTCCGGCGGCGAGCGGGGCGCGGAGGAACGACAGCCGCGACTACCTGCTGATGGACTCGGAGGCGTGTGAGGAGAACTGCACGGCGCCCTACGCTTACTACCCCGCGTGAGTGGCTTTTTCCCGCCAAAGTGAGGGGGTGGGCGCCGCTTTTGGGAGAGGGGTGGAAAGTCAGGCGCGTCTCCCTCACGCGCTGCCCAAACGGCGACGACGACGACGGTGTGGGAATAGGGCAGAGAGAAGCCAGCTGCGCGCTCTCTCTCTCTCTCATTTTCGAAACAGAAGAGTTCAAAGGGGGTCGTGTGAAACAGTAGCGGGGTTGCTATGAGGTCGGGCTGACTCGCTTCCCGGATCCAGAGAGCTTCCTTCAGGCAGCTCCTCTTGACGCGCGGAGCTTTTCCCCTCACGGAGCTGCACCTGTGGCTTCCAGCTTCCCCCGTTGGGAAAGGGGAAAAGCGCGGGAAGATGTGGGAGGGCTGGGGGGGGCGATCCTTATCTAGGGAGCCTTTCCGCCGTGGGGTTTGAAGGAAGCGGAGGAGCCAACTTCTAGGGGGCGAGGCCCCATTCGTCCCCCACAATAAAATATCTGAGGCCCCCCCAAAGTTGATGAGCATTGCCATTCGAATGGTGTGCCATGTCATGTGATCATGCGGGGCGGGGCTTACCTGCGCCGCCCCCGCCCTCAATATTTTATTCAAATCGGCACCCGTGGAGGGAAGATAGGGAATAGGTGGCAGGCGCTGTTGGTTTCTCTCGTGTAAGAGTGCAATGGAGTCTGTGTGTTTTTCTCTTCCAGAGAGGCACCCCCATGGGTGCAGCCAGGATTTTTGCTGGGGGTGGGTGCAGAATCTCAGATTTGTATTGATGTTGATTGATTGGGGCAGGCAGCCCCTCTTTCCATCAGAGGGTGGTGTGTGAGATTGAGGGTGGCGTTAGCTACAGCTAAGAATTAAAGATGTGGGCTGCTCGCTGCTCAGCTCTCTAGGTGTGGGAACTGAGAGAATGATGGGATGTAGAAGATAGCCAATGCCATGCCCAAGGGGCAGAGGCAGCCAACCTGTTGTCCACTAGCAGCGGAGTATTTGGGGCACCCCACGCATAAGAATGGAGGCCCCTGTGGGCTGGATGTGGCACGGGAAGGGCTCCTGCCTGCCTGGCACCCCAGAACTGTTAGTTGCTGCTTGCTTCCCAGCCCCGTTGAATGAACAGGCAAAGGGAAAACCCACACCAACACACTTGTGTAGTGCCTATTTACAAGATTAGGAAGCTCCTTATCCTGCATCCGATCATGGGTTCCACCTGGCTCACTATTGCCTACACTGGCTGGTAGCAGTTGTCTGGGATTTCAGGCCGGGGGCTTTCCCAGCCCTGCGCAGAGATGATGGGGAGCTTTCCCCTGCAAAGCATAAGCACTCCCACAGCTCTTCTTTAACATGTTAAGATTTGAGGTTCTGAGCGCTGCTGCTGCTTCCGTCTAGGTTGGTAACCATTTGAGCATGCGCCTTCCTGCCCAGGTTTAGGGATGTATGTCTGCGGGGAGTATTTTGGCAAGGGCTGTAAGTGAGCAGCGTATTTGTGTGGGAAGTGGAATGTGAGGAAGAGAATGTATATAAAGTGTATGTCGAAGGAGGGAGGTGACACACAGGGATGCAGGTGCTTTCTCTCTTGTGATGAGGAAGCCTGTATGGCCCTCTAGGTGTTGGCGGGCTCCAACTCCCACCAGGCTCTGCCAGCATGGGCAATGGTCAGGGAGGGTGAGGTTTCTGGTTAAGAAACATCTGGAGAGCCACGGGTTCCCCTATCCCTGCAGGGTGCATAAAGAAGGCGACAGTTCTTACACAGGATTGGCCGTGAGCTTTTTGTTACAGTTACAGGTGTGTTTGGAAGAGGGGGAATAAGGTGAATGTGGGGAACTCCTATACTATGGCTGGATGTTTGTCAGGGGCTGCTGTCAAAGGGAGTGTGTAGCTACTCTAGAGATCCTACGGTGCAGTTCCATTACAGTGGTACTTCGGGTTACAGATGCTTCAGGTTACAGATGCTTCAGGTTACAGACTCCGCTAACCCAGAAATAGTACCTCAGGTTAAGAACTTTGCTTCAGGATGAGAACAGAAATCATGCGGCGGCAGCGCGGCAGCAGCAGGAGACCACATTAGCTAAAGTGGTACCTTAGGTTAAGAATGATTTCAGGTTAAGAACGGACCTCCAGAATGAATTAAGTTCTTACCCCGAGGTACCACTGTACTAGCGTTAAACATCCTGAGGTCCTTTGTAGGCTAGAAAAGATTCCAGTGGAATGAAATGAATAACAGTTTCCTTCTAACTAGGGCAGTTACAAATAAGGGAGGGTGTGTGGGGGTGGGACAGATTTTTTCCTTTCTCTTGTGCATTTTCACATGGAGCAAGACTCCTAATGTCCACAAATGATTGTGAGTACAAACTAAGGGAACAGGATTCAAAGATGTGAGCTGATCTACTTGCTGCATGCTGGAGGAAGGCTGCAAGGCACCAGGAGTGTGTGATTGGGTTGCTTTTTTGCCAGCAGTATGAAGAATTAATGGCTCACAGAGGGGTGGTGAGAAAAGAGACCATCGCTGCTTCGTGGTGACCTGGGGGAAGCCTGCACTCTGGCCAAGGGAAGCTGGAAGAGAGATCTCTCAGCTGGCATTGTGGTCACCCAGATGCCTCTCTGAAACCTCAAACTATCTGCTTCCCCTCCTCCCACCCCATTTTGTCTTCTGGTAATGATGCAGAGACCTCTTCCCCCCCAGGTTGACACTCAGTGGTTTCTTCCAAAGGAAAAAAAAAATGTGTGTATGTGGGGGGGGGGGGGGACACCACCAGGAAGGTGGAAAAGAAAGGGAAGGTGCCCAGAAGTACCTTTATTGAGAACTCTGTATTTTCAGTTACAGTGGTACCTAGGGTTAAGTACTTAATTCGTTCTGGAGGTCCGTTCTTAACCTGAAACTGTTCTTAATGTGAAGCACCACTTTAGCTAATGGGGCCCCCCGTTGCCGTCGTGCCGCCAGAGCACGATTTCTGTTCTCATCCTGAAGCAAAGTTCTTAACCCGAGGTACTATTTCTGGGTTAGCGAAGTGTGTAACCTGAAGCGTATGTAACCCGAGGTACCACTGTACTGTATTCTTGAGAGGCACTTTTAGGCACAGCCAACCTGAGTCTTTGGCCTCCCACTCTACTGCAGCACACATACTTGAAAAAGATTTGAAGAACTGACAAATTCTCTCCAGATGCAATGAGTAATGCTATCTCCTGCCTACAGCCCAGTGCAGGAAGTGGAGAGGAAAAAGGAAATGATAGATGCAAAAGGGGAAAAAAGAGGCATCTCTTTTCAAGTGTCAGAACTAGGAGTTGCTGCGTAACGCTAGTCCGTCTTGGACTCGACATACGTGTAGGAAGGCGTTGTGTGTGTGTGTGTAAGTGGAGCAGAAATGTGTATTTTTGGGGGAATGGAGGTGGGGAAGAGAAGGGAACCAAAAGCATCTGTCAGGTAAGTGAATTATGCTTCGGGGAATGTTAATAAGGGTCTGCTGAGAAGGAGAGATGAGCGCTCTCTGGCATGGAATATCTGTGTAGGTCCTTGCCAGAGAGTTCTCATTTCAGCAGACCATTATTAACATCCCCTGAAGCATAATCCAGTTATGCGACAGATGTTTTTGCTCCCTTCCCCTTCCCAACCAATATGTCAACTCTTTTCCCCCATAGGAGTAGGGGGTAACATCAGGGGTCCATGCCACACATGAATGGATCACAACCAGTTGTGCATGCCTTGTGAATATAAGGGAAAGTTGGCCACGAACCACTGCCATCTGCAACAGTAATTTTATTTTGCTAATCTATATGGCATATTCCCTCACCCTAGTGTGATGATTTTAGTTGGCTATCCATCCTAACAACACTCTAGTTAGCAAGACATACACACTGGTATTTCCAAACAGAATAATCTCTGCAGAGGTTAAAGACTGCTGACATCAAGCTGTTGCAGACTGCAGCTCAATATGCAAAATTCCTTGGAAATGTTGACACTTAGTTTGGGATTTAGGTCACATCTTCTCACAAATTTTTGTGTGAAAGAAACTGAGCACAGCACCTCACTTTTCCACGCCTCCTGAGCTGCCAAACCTGGTACATTCTGGGTTAGCCAGGAAAATCAGATTTCATCAATTTTGCCTCTGGATGAGTAAATCTGAAAGCACCTTTCAGTGTAGCCAAATTAGAAATAAATTAATGAAGCTATCTTGAATGGTGCATTTGTGTTTGGTTACCTTTTTTTAAAAAAAAAAATCCAGAATATATACATTCAAAATAATGCATAGAAATGTATACAGATGTTTAAAGGAATAGAGTTTCTGAGAAATTACATGAACTTTACATGCTGTGCTTCCTGTTTTTCTGTTTCTTGATTTGATGGTGACAACTTTAACTTGTTAATGCGTTTGAGAGGTACAGTCATTCCTCCGTGCAGAATAAGAACTGATTACACTATGTAACATGACAAGAATCTGAAACATTCAGTGATGGCTGTAAGAGGCATAGTTTCTTCCTCGCTAATGCTTTCCCTTTGTATCTTAACTACTTAACATGAGTCATTTTGCTATCCACCTCCTCTGATTTATACCACTTAAACTTGCCAAAACCTATTAACACAGCCTGGCACAGAATAGGACTGTTGGTAGGAGGCAGCGGTAATAGAAAAGGATTAAGATTAAGGAGTTCAGTGGCTATAAGTCTACATATTATTATCACTATTATTCGTTTTATTTCTATACTATATATTTTTAAGGGGAGGGAACAGGTTGCAGCCTACATTAAAAAAATTCAATACAACATTTCTGAATAAAGTCAAGTGTGAAGTATACATTCAAAACAACATAGGTAACAGGAAACTAAAATATTATCTTGAAGATTTCAAAATAAATCTTTGCAAAGGAGGTCAAGTACAGAATACACATGGCTAACTTTTTTTTAACTTAAGCATTTCAAAAGAAAACATGGCTAAAGGAAGTCAAATACAAAATGCACATTTAAAACAGCATAATTAGCAAGAGGATGAAATATTATAAACACTGAACGTATCTGCTGCTGCCGCTGCCAGTCCTGCCAATGGTGGTTCATGGCGGCTGTGGAAGCTCAGGCTCAATGACCTGGGTCTTCACTAAGAGACAGCCAAGATGGTCATACATACATACAGTACATAGCATAAAAGAAACTTGATGAATATGAAAACAAACTCTTAACAAAAAAATTGGTGCGACTAACAATAAAAGACACCAACAATAAAACAGAATCATAGATTTTCTTCTTCTTTGGCAATCACTCGTAGCCGAGTAAGATTGTCTTCCACAAACACGGTTTTAACAATGAGTCTGTAAGTGACTGTGGAGGCCAATTCTGGATCCACACATCCTTCCACAGTGGGGACATAGGTTTCCGGGTGGGAGTTGATCATGGTGAGGGTTTGCCAAGCATGCCTTCCTCCTAGCATGTTTCTCCCTTGCTTCCTGAGTTCGAGTGTCTTCAAAGCCCGTGACACCTTTGGTAAAGGCTGTTCTCCAACTGGAGCACTCGCAGGCCAGTGTTTCCCAGTTGTCAGTGTTTATACTACATTTTTTAAGATTTGCCTTGAGACAGTCTTTAAACCTCTTTTGTTGACCACCAGCATTACGCTTTCCATTTTTAAGTTCGGAATAGAGTAGTTGCTTTGGAAGACGATCATCAGGCATCCGCACAACATGACCAGTCCAACAAAGTTGATGTTGAAGAATCATTGCTTCAACACTGGTGATCTTTGCTTCTTCTGGTACATTGGCATTAGTTCGCCTGCCTTCCCAAGTGATGTGTAAAATTTTTCAGAGACACTGTTGATGGAATCTTTCGAGGAGTTGGAGATGGCGTTTATAAGTGGTCCATGTTTCACAAGCATATAGTAAGGTTGGTAGTACAATAGCTTTGTAAACAAGCATTTTGGTTTCCCTGCAAATGTCCCGGTCCTCAAAAACTCTACACTTCAATCGGGAGAAAGCCGCACTCGCAGAGCTCAGGCGATGTTCGATTTTGGCATCAGTGTTGGCCCTTGTGGAAAGATAACTGCCTAGGTAGGAGAAGTGATCGACATTTTCCAATGTTACACCATTGAGTTTGATTTGTGGTGCTGCAGAGGGGTTACTTTGTACTTGTTGGTGCAGCACTTTGGTTTTTTGGATATTGAGTGATAGGCCAAGCTTTTCGTAAGCTTCTGCAAAGATATTTAGGATGGTTTGGAGGTCATCCTCTGAGCGTGCACACACTGCGTTTTCATCAGCATACTGAAGCTCTATGACGGAAGTTACAGTAACCTTACTCTTTGCTTTCAGCCTGCTCAGACTGAAGAGCTTTCCATCTGTTCAATATATGTTTTCTACTCCAGTGAGGAGTTTCCCTTCGACAAAGTGTAGGATCATGGCAATGAAAATAATGAATAGAGTTGGGGCAATAACACAACCCTGTTTAACACCTGATCCCACTGTGAATGGTTCACTTTGAGAGCCATTGTTATCTGCGATCGTTGCATCATATTATCATGGAGGAGCCGAATGATGTCTACAAATTTATCTGGACAGCCAATTTTCAGAAGGACAGTCCCCAGGGCATTACGATTTACAGTGTCGAAAGCCTTAGTCAGGTCAATAAACGCCATATACAGGGATTGGTTTTGCTCTCTGCACTTTTCTTGAAGCTGCTGAGTGGTGAAAATCATGTCCACTGTCCCCCTAGAAGGCAGAAAAGCATTTTGGGATTCAGGAAGGGTCACCTCGGATATTGTTAAGAGACGATTTGCTAAGATCACGGTGATCTTTAGCATGGACAGTAACATAGTCTAAGAGGTGACATGAGCTTGACCAATCTGCGGGAGGCAGTGGAAGACAGGAGTGCCTGGCGTGCTCCGGTCCATGGGGTCACGAAGAGTTGGACATGACTAAACGACTAAACAACAACAAAAGGTGACAGTGGTTTGACCAAGGATGCCTTCATGAAGTTTTAAATTTATTTTTCTGTCGAAAGATTGTGTTGGTAATAACAAGGTTGTGTGCTGCATATATTGTCAAAAGTAAGATTCTGTTCTGGTTGCTGTTGCCAACTCCTTCTTTCCGAATAGTCCCAGGCCACAGATCGAAATCTCGCCCAACTCTTGCATTAAAATCACCCTGGAGGATAATTTTATCTTCCTTAGGCGTCTCAGATAGGACAGTATCCAGCTGAGAGTAAATTTTTTCTGTAATGTCTTCATCGGCATCCAGTGTTGGTGCATAAGCGCTTATAATAGGAGCCTGTTGGTTTTTGGTGAGCTTTATTGTTGGAAGGGACCACAAGAGTCTTCTAGACTAACCCCCTGCAATGCAGGAATTTTTTTGCCCAATGTGGGGCTCGAACCCACAAACCTGAGATTATTGCGGAGGGTGGTATATAAATCTAATAAATAAAATAAAATAGGCACAGGTAGATGATTTTGCAGGAATAAAAAAGGGTTGGGGTTTTTTTTGCACTTACTGGAAACAATAAGGTGTAGGCACTTGTCTATCAGACACATGTCCCACAGTTTGGGAATTGTAGGCAACTGCTGTGAAATAAATGGCCTTCAGTAGCCAATAAATTAATTCACCGCAAGGATGTGACTTGAACTCAACAAAATCAACTCTCGGGCCACAAGATCACTGTGATTTGCAACACACCTTCTTAGATTGTAAAACTGAGCAAAAGTTGATGGAACACATTTTTTACCAGAGTCTCTAGGTGAGCGCCATTGATCATTGTCTATTGCTAACAGGAGGTTGCTGTGTGTGCTTGCTTAGAGAAAACCTGAGTCAAAATGACCTACCTCACTTCATATCCTTTCTTTTTTCCTAATCTGGGAGAACAGCCTTCAAGAGGGAAAAGATCCATCCATCCTAGGGCCTGGTTCTCAGAGGCAATATACCTTTAACGTGTAGTGAAATTAATATGCTTGTTTTGAAATAATAATAGTAATAATAATAATATGTTATTTTCAGAGTGAGATGAAAATAAATTTAGGTTTGACCCAAATGCTCATCATTTCTCAGACGCAGAATCTTAACGACTTCTCACCAAAGTTGTAGGAATAATAAAAGTTTGTGGGTGTCGAATGATTAGCACTTTAAATGTGTAAAGCAACCAAGTTAATCAGAAGTAAAAGATTACTGGGTCATTCCTCCACCCCAATTTATCACATGGCATACAAATGTACATTTTCTCTCTTCTGCAGACTTCCTACATAACCATATGTTTCCACATAAATCCATTATAGTTTTCTTATTAAGTCTAAAATAACTGCTTATAAGTTTGTGCACACGTCTCAGGCAGAGATGTGGTTGGGCTCCAACTCCAATCACCCCAGACTCACTGGCCATACTGAAAAGTTGCCTCATTCCTTACAGACCACATGTGGCCCTCAAGGTCTTTTTTAGCGGCCCTCTGCAACATCTGAGGCCCTGCCCCCAGCTCTCACTCTGCTGGGGAAGCAAGGCACTGGACTTTGGGAAGGAATGCGTGAGGTCCTGGAGTTCCCTTCCCTTCTTCCCAAAGCCTAGTTAGCACATTCCCAGCTTTGGGGAAAAGGCTGGAGGGTTTGAGGACCCTGCCAGAGTCTTGCATCTCCTTCCCAAAGCCCAAATCCTCGCTTAGATGGATATTGACTACCAAATGACCCTAAAATAATATTACTTAAGCATAGAACATATCAGCTCCTGTTGCTGCCGATCCTGTCAATGGGACAATTATTTAGTTACACAACCCTTTGGAGGGATCAAGGGAAAAACTTTATCACCTGTACATTCATTTACCATTAGCGCTTCTATTAAGCTGTCTTAAGACTTCCCTAGTTAACACCAGAAAGTCACATTTTATTATGCTGTGCACCAGTAAGCAATCTGCGTGAATGTGGAAGGTATGTTTATTTCTATAGGTACAGACATGTGTCCCAGTAAATATACAGTAGCCTGCAGTTCTGCAAGACAAAAATGTTTCTGGCTGCCACACACCACACACAAACGCTTGTTTGCACAATCCAAGGATTGTCAAAGTGCGCAAAGATGGAATCCCCATGCAAGTGCAGCTTTTCCCATTTTCAGACTTAAGTTCCTGGCTACATTCACCTTTACAGACACTTCTACACTGCAGCTTCATTCTGCAACGAATGATAAACAGGGTGCTGTTTGCCTGCAAAACATACTTCCAGTGCCCCAGGCACTGGGGAGGAAGGATGAAAGGATTTGAGGGTGAAGTAGTAATTAGAGGAGGGCAAATCCCGAGGCTTTCTTATACAAATGTGTTTCCTTTATATCTTGTTAAACTAAGATTAAATTCCTTTTTATTTAAGAGCCCAGAGAGCCAGCTGGCCTTTGTATTTAATTACGCCCACCAAGCATACAATTTTACCTGTGTTTGCAGACTGCAATTCTATGCTTTATTAAGGCCAAACATATATAATCCCTTGATGGCAACCTGGTGAATGGTAGTACTTTTTAATACTGCATGAAGCAAGAAAGTGGAGAAATTCAAATTCATACAAATGGAACAGTCCCTGAAGAGGAATAACAGCTAGGAGGCATAGGTAGCAAATGAGTGGGGCCAAATGTCCCAGTTGTACTAAATGTGCCATTTTTTCTAACTTCTCCGGCACGATACCATGAAACCTAGATTACGCTTGCAATGCCAAACACAGGTAAAGGTAAAAGGACCCCTGACCATTAGGTCCAGTTGTGGCCGACTCTGGGGTTGCGGCGCTCATCTCGCTTTATTGGCTGAGGGAGCCGGCGTACAGCTTCCGGGTCATGTGGCCAGCATGACTAAGCCGCTTCTGGCGAACCAGAGCAGCGCATGAAAATGCCGTTTACCTTCCCACCGGAGCGGTACCTGTTTATCTACTTGCACTTTTTGGCGTGCTTTCGAACTGCTAGGTTGGCAGGAGCTGGGACTGAGCAACAGGAGCTCACCCCGTTGCGGGGATTCGAACCGCCGACCTTCTGCTTGGCAAGCCCAAGAGGCTCAGTGGTTTAGACCACTGCGCCACCGGTTCTTTAAATCCAGGACAGTGTTATAGCCAGCCTCCACATTACAGAGGGCTGCTTACGATTATGGAGAGCATCATGTGCGGAAAGGAGCTCTGTAGAGATTGCTGCATGGCAAGAGGTTATGTGCTTGCCTTTTTGGGAAGGATGAAATGTTGCTTTGGTGCTTGAAAAAAATTGGTTGTGTGGAACTGAACAGAGTCATTTCCAGGGAAGGGAAGGGCCATAGCCCACTGGGAGAGCATATGCTATGCATCCTCACCCCCAAAAACAACTGGACAGGAAGGTGCACATTCTTAAATCTTAAGTGCCAATCGTAATTGTTGGGGAAGACCTCATACACAGAAGTTCCCAGGTTCACGTCCCAAGATCACCAGATAGTAGGAAAGACCTTCTGTCTGGAACCCCGGAGAGCCACTGCATAAGATTCTTAATCTCAGGGTGATGGTGGTTTGAGCCCCACCTTGGGCAAAAGATTCCTGCATTGCAAGGGGTTGCATTAGATGACCCTTGTGGTCTCTTCCAAATCTACAGTTCTGTAATTCTGTGTTGTGTACAGAATTAGACAGTGCTGAGCCAGATGAGCCAATGGTTCCCATGAGTCCTTCTCCGGCTGCTTTTTAGAAGACCGTATTGCTGAATGAGCTGCACATTGCAGCAATTCACATCCAGTGAAGCTAGGAAATACAGCAAAGGCGTTGTGCCTGATTTAACAAACAAACCCACGTAGAAAACACACCCTTCCAAAAAACTTTATGAAAGAAAATGAAGCTACCCAAGTGACAGGGGTGCAAATGGAGCAGATTGGCTCCATTTGTGATGCCATATAGAGCTATCCAGGGGTTGCCAGAGACATCTGCACATCCATAATGAGAGAGAAAAATAGTGATTGTACCCTAATCAGCTGTTTGGAGTCAGGGAGGTTGTTTGCAGCCACACCCACATTCCAGCAGGTGATGAGAGCTGTTAGCGTTTGCAGCTTCGCCATCTGTTTAATGCTGAGGCTCAGCTTTAATCTTGGTGTTTTGGTTTTCTTTCAAAAAGAAAAGAAAAAAATAGAATGGATGCTGTAATTTATGGTAACAGCACAGATGAGTGCATTCTGCAATCAAGTTCAGCCACAACATAAAATTTGTTGGGGGGAAAAAGCTTCCCATTAACTCTGCCATTCTTACAGCTAATTCAAAATACGCCATGCTAAAAGGTGGGATCCATGAATGCTACAGTTGCTGCATTCAAAGATACTGAAATCTTTCATTCCGAGAAATAAATTTTCATTTGCTGTTGGGATTTGTTTTCAGCATACAGAGGCTAAATTCTCATGTCAATAAACCATACTTTAGCATAGCTTTGCTCAACCACTCAGTTTTGGACTGAACGGACGGGACCAATGGTGGATCCAGCGGTCAAGAAGGCAGTTTCTGCACATGCTGTGTAGAGGGTGTCGGAGATTCCATACGACCGAGCTGAAATGGCTCTCCCCCACGACGTACGTCGGAATCCATCGAGGCTCTCTTCCAACGGTGATTAACAACCTAAGCCTTTAATGAGGCTTCAGGCACGTTCCCTCATTACGCAGAGTATCCAAACAGCAGCAGAAGAGCGAGAAATATATGCTAGGTTTATTTCTATCTATGCAGGACAGAAAAGAATAGAATAGACATCTGCTCTCAGAGTCAGTGAAGAACTGGGAGAAAGAAACAGGAAACCAGAAACATCAACATCTGTCTCCTGTCTCCTGTGAGAGTTCCAACAGTCTGGAATGTAAACAGAGTCTTGTGACTCCAAAAACTGCACAGTGGCATAACAGAAATCTAACAGAGGGAAGTGAAGGGCAGATGGGGCCTGTCAACCTGGGAAGATAGCCCATCTAGGAGAAGGAAAACTCTGACCCTAAACCTCCTCTGCTTTGTGAGATATCTTAGGGAGAAGAAAAAGCTCAGGAGTAAACCCTACACAAATCTGGGGTGGAATCCCTAAGATGGTTGGATGCCTGCATGCCTCCTTCTGGCAACTCCTGCAGCCAAGCTGGTGCCAAACATGTTGCTCTGCTTTCCTTTGGACCACATCAGTGAGGCCAAGAGGGAGGTTTTGTTGTCTGGGCAGTTCAGGACCTCCAAACAAACTGCCCAGGCTTGCGCCCAGCGGTGGGGGTGTGTCACTTTGGTGCTGTTAACGCAGCGGTTTGACTTCACCCTTGGAAGCATACTCCATTGTCTCTCAAGACAGATGGATGCCAGTAACAACAATTCCCATCATTCACTGTTGTCTGCTATGACAATTTAAAGAACTAGCCTAGTTTGCAATGCAAAACAATCAGAGTACAGGCCTTCAAACAGGAACCATCTTTATGCTGCAATCGTATATTCATTCATTCATTCAATGTCCATCAGTCTCAATGTTTAACTTTGGCTGGATCATGATATGTCAGCATCAGCCCTCTATTAATTGCAATTAACAAATCAGGAGAGAGAAGTGACACCGCTGCCTTTCTTTAAATAATTCCATAAATTGTCTTTATTTTCTTATTCCATTTCTTTTTCATTTTATTGTCAAACAGAAGCTTCAATTCATATAGGCAAATAAGTAAAGGTCCCAGCTGAGGTTGGTTTAACATTTTTTATTAAACACTTTGGTTTCTACAGTAGTACAGCTGGGGTTTCAAATGAATGCTTGGAGCCAAGGTGATACAAAAATTAGAAGAAAAATGTAAACAGAAAGATGTAAACAATCCAGTACTTATTTTGATGATGAAAACTGCCTGCCATACAATCCCAGTATCCTCTCTCAGTTCATCATTTCACTAAATTGCATAAATTTCCAAGGACTAGAAAAACCTGTAAGTGACTTCCTGGCCAACAGCTGTATTACATTATCTTCCAGTACTGAAATTACACTATAGCCTCAGTTGGGAATGAAATAAATCTCTCTCTCTATCTCTGTACGTAATGGGGCAATTCCATAGGATAATGATTGCTAACATATATAATGGATATGTGTGCATATAATCCCAAACTAATGGGATGGAACTAATGGGATGCCATGGAACAGATGCTCAAAAACTCCACAATAATGCCACACCTTCTGCCATTGGCTGATTGCAGATTTTTGCAGCACTAAGCACTATATGCTCTTATGAGTATATTCCCCCATCCTGTTCTAGGTTATGGTATAGTTCGAGAACAGTTTTACCATGTGCTGGAAGTCGTTTGTCCAGAGAGCCTTTCAAGTGAGGCTTTGAACCCAGATCTCAGCAGTCCAACCTCCCACACTGCAGGTATTACCCCTCAATAGCCGTTGGTCTGCCTAGAGCAGAAATAGCCAAAATGGTGTCCTGCAGATGTTGTTAGACTATGACTCCCATCATCCGTTGTCCATGTAAGATGAGGTTGATGGGAGTTGTAGTCCCAACAATATCTGGAGGGCACAGAAAACCTCGTCAGGAGGATCTCTCAACAAACTGAGTGGCCTTGGGCATCTAGCTGCTTCTCCACCTGACATAACTCACACAAAGGTTGCTGTGAGAAAGGTTGCTGGTACCTATCAGCATCAACAATACTAGGCTAAGTGGCCAATGGTCCTCATAAAAGTCATCTTTTTAGGTTCATCGACAACTCCAGAAGTTCCATCCCTCCGTAGAGCTGCACCTTCATTACCTGTGCTAGTAGTATGCCTATCCAAGTGCTGTCAAGAAAGAGGCAGAAGGCTTAGTGCTCCCTGAAGATCCTCAGTTATGTATGGATCCAGTGTCAGGAATGGATCCAGCTATTAATCTGAAACTCTGCTAAGGGCCACCTTACAGATTCATGTTATTCTTAACATGGAAACTACCTGAAGCCTGCTTGTGAATACCTAAGAGAGTGAGAAAACGGCCAAGATTGGAGTATTTAGCTATATGGGATAGCTGTTTCTAACTCTTTGTCTTCTTTACCTATAAAACAAGCCCTCAATTGTACAATATAAGGAGGAGATCGATAGTTAATAAAAAAAATGCTGCAATACTTTGAATCTCAGATATTTCGAAAGCGTGGCGCTAATTGCAGTTACATTCTCTGAATAGTGCCCTGCTAAACTCTGTGGAACATTAATGCACAAATGGTTTATAGGACAACTTGAAAAACTTGTCTGGAGCAACAGTAATTTGTAGTCATATTTCTGCATGGCTGACTTTCATTTCCTCATAAATGCTAAAATAATGAATCAACTTTGAGCAGAAAATGTAATTAGCTTGTTCAGAAAATATGGCCAGTGTTACTTTTCAGTTATCATACAGTGGCCTCCGTCTCTGTATATTTTGCCTGACATTTTCACTCAAGCCTGCAAGACTTGAATCTTGCACAGACCCCATTCATTTCGAAAGGGTTTGGTGCAGGAGACCTTATTGAAAGAGCATGCCCGAGATAATAATTCTTCAGGGAGCTGGGTGCTGATGTTGGCTTTCGGTGTTGCAAGTTGTTTGTGTGACCACCCACCCTAATAGAATTTAATAAATCTGGCAAGGCCATTATGGCAAATTTAGCAAGCCTGTTAGAGGAGTTTTTAATAGTTTTACACAGTAATTGTAATGAACGATGAAATGATACGTTACAATAAACCCTTCTTATTGTAATGCATATCCATAGTTCTCATTACTGTATTTCATGTCTGGCTAAGGGGAATGGGTGCAAAGAAGAAATAGAAGAGTAATACTGCTGCTTTCCAGTAGTGCCAGGCAGAGGCTGTTGGTTGCCTTCAGTGTCTATTGTGCAGAGTTATGCTTCTTCTTGTACTTTTCAAACTCTTCTGCAGACAAGAGGATTTGGGCAACTGAATGTTCTCATACAGGTGAGAACCAGCGCAGTGTTGTGAGGGTTTTGGACTAGGACTCAGCTACATTCGTAAAAAAAACCCAGCGTTTTAAATGCGTTATACACTTGCAACACCAGATGGCACTGTAGAGCACAAAACTTTTCTATGCGATTTCACATACCGTTTCCCCCCCTTTTGCTATAACGATTGAATTTATGACTTATTTATAGCACACACCCCCTGTGTAGATCCACCGTAGGATCTGGGAGACCAGGGTTCAAATATACACAGGATGGTTAGAGCATGGTACTGATAAAATCAAGTTTGCAGGTACGATCCCCGTATGGGGCAGCTGCGTATTCCTGCATTGCAGATGGTTGAACTAGATGATCTTCAGGGTCCCTTCCAACTTGACAGTTCTACCATTCTATGCATAACTCTTACTGGGTGACCTTAGACTGGCTTGCCACTTTCTCTAAGCCCAACCTCCCTCACAGGATTGTCAAGATGAAATGGTAGCTGTGAAGAACCATATACACTACCTTGAGCTCCTTGGAGGAAAAGTGAGATATAAAAAATTACTAAATATCAACATTTGCTAAAATCCTGCACTGCTGTTAAAGGCACACTCCCATTGTGATTGGCTCTCAACCTCCTGCCCTTTACATTTCAGTACCTTTTCCTCCCTCTCTGCTCTTGTGGATGCACTTTATAAGCTGCCAAGCCTTGCAGTTAGCTTCCCCCGATCTGCAAATGCTTGCATGCTGTTTTCTCAGTGAGGTTCCTGCTGCTGAGCATCTGCTTGCTATTAATGCCGCAGCACTGATCGCTTGTTCCATCACTAGTGGAAGCAGTGATGGAGAGCACTTTCCACTGCATTATTCTAGATTGTTGACTGAGGCATTCTGTTCTTTCCCCAGTAACAGTATATGCATTTCTTGAGTTTTCTGAACTAGTTTTAATAGTGTTGCTTTCCCCACCCCCTTACCCCTAAGTGTTTTTAATTGTTCTTTCATCTCTTTCAAACAGCATTCTAAAACTAGTTTGGGGGGAAATGTGTTCACAGGGTAAAAACATTTCCAGAAACCTTCCAGTCTGTGGAACAAGTCTTTAGAGACTTCATCAGAAAACTGTGGCATTGTTAAAATGAACAGTTTCAGTTGTGAAGAAGGAAAACATGGATTTTAGGGGGGGGAAACCCTGTTACAATAAAATATTATGAGCAGTGATCCATATACCCTTCTTGCAATATTCAGTGCTGGATAAGAATCCCGTGCACTTAATCATTGAAAGTCTAGGATTTGGCAGCCTTTCTGAAGCTAAGCAGACTCGAGACTCTGAAGTTCCTGAATAGAAAACAATGCACACGGCCTTTCCTTCCTTGAAAGAAACCTGTCTCGCTGCCAAAGGATAAATTTACAAAGAGCAGGTTCATAAAGGAGAAGATGGTCCCTTGTTTGGAGCTTTACAGGTTAAAACCAATGTTTTCGGTTGTGATGATACTTCATCTAGTGATGATCTTTTAACACTGGGGCTTGGAAATATGACTTAACAAGGGTGAGTAGTGATTAACAGCCAAGCACTTGTGCTTGGAACTTACTGCAGCCTTCAAAGAGTCTTTGCAAGTATCACCACATAAAGTACATTCTAGTAATCTCACCATGACGCCACCAAGCTGTGGGATATCCAGCTTCATATAACCAACATGCTTAAGTCTAATTAGTGCATGAAGGGGTTAATGCCATAGAGTATGCTGGCCTGCTAGGCTTAGCTAGGCTACTCCCCCTCACCTTGGGAGGAAGGCAATCAAGGCCTTTGTTCACCTCAGTCTACCAGAGAAGCTCAGCGTGTGAAGAGGCTAAACAATCCTTTCTTCTGTTCCTATACCAATAATTTAGGAACTTTCATCACTGTAACTAAGCCAGGTTTCACTGCCTGTGTGCTCTGATGGCTATATGGAAAGTTACTTATTTATTATTTGTTAAATTTGTATGGTGCCCTTCATCCATAGATTTCACAAGATAAAAATGCAAAACAAAAAAAACAAAAAATACATAATAAAAACAAAAACAAAACAGTGACTCCCTCCCCCCAGGAAATGCACATGAACTGGACCCTTGAAGAGTTTGTAAGTAAAGCTATTTTTAACTTACCAAATATGTGTCTTTTTCTATGCTAAGGGAAGTGGGGAACCTTGGAAGGAACTTAGAAGAGCATATTTTAAAGGTCTAACAGCCTATATTTCCATGCTTTACTTTGCTGCATGTTTGTGATTTTGTGACTCTCACCAAAGAGTACTTGCCCCAAACTTGAATTCTGGCATCCAGGAATTCATCTTTTATATATCTATTTTTTTCCTTGCCACCAACATGCCATAGACAGCTATATCAAGGTTAAAGTTGGAAATATGGACGTGGTAGCCACATCATAGGATCGTTTCTTGCTACTTAGATCTCTCAATGCTTTTAGAGCAGAACAGGTCTGGCATAAACTGCAAGTGTTCTTCCACTGCTTTTGTATCAGAAAGGTCCACATAAAACTTTAGAAACCACATTTTACACTGTAGTCCTGCCGTCACAATGAACTGGAAGGGTTTTTATTTATTTGTTTTAATTGCTCGTAAAATCAGTTTCCACTGTCCCTGCAGAAAACACTGCTTCGGTCATTTCGAAAATAAGTCATGCCTTGTAATGCAGTGTGCACATTAGAACAGTATTACTTAAACCAATAAAGTTCATTTTTGTTCCTACTTATGCAAACTTTGGCATTTTGAGTATGATAATTGCATTAGTCTGGCGACAGGGAAGCAAGAAACAGGGGCTAATGACTCCTGAGGAGCTTCATTTTTTCCCCTTTCCAGGCAAGTCCACAACCTATTGGTCCCTGAGCTCTTGGTTCTTATGGGTATGTGATCTGATTCATATTGAATTGATTATAGTTAATGGTTTGGAAATTGTGGGATGTGGGTTTTGACTTGTTGCTTATATTTCTGCACTCCAGGAACAGTGCCATCCTAATCTTGATTTATTCTTGTTGAGCAGGGATAGGATTGCACGTAAACTCCCCTTGCCCCATCAGAGTTCAAAGGTAAACCAGGCATAGAGAACCCATGGTGGTAGCAGATTCCATAGTTTAACTGTGTGATGTATGAGTACAGTGGTGCCTCGCAAGACGAAATTAATCCGTTCCGCGAGTCTCTTCGTCTTGCGGTTTTTTCGTCTTGCGAAGCACGGCTATTAGCGGCTTAGCGGCTATTAGCGGCTTAGCGGCTATTAGCGGCTTAGCGGCTTTAAGAAAAAGGAAACAAACTCGCAAGAACTCGCAAGACGTTTCGTCTTGCGAAGCAAGCCCATAGGGAAATTCGTCTTGCGGAACGACTCAAAAAACGGAAAACTCTTTCGTCTTGCGAGGCATTCGTCTTGCGGGGCACCACTGTAAGTACTTCCTTTTGTCCGTTCTGGATAGTCCATCGTTCAGGTTCATTGGTTGCTCTTGAGTTCTAGTATTATGAGAGACACAGGTGGCGCTGTGGTCTAAACCACTGAGCCTCTTGGGCTTGCCAATCGGAAGGTCGGTGGTTTGAATCAGTGTGATGGGGTGAGCTCCCGTTGCTCTGTACCAGCTTTTGCCAGCCTATCAGTTCGAAAGCATGGCAGTGTGAGTAGATAAATAGGTACTGCTGTGGCAGGAAGGTAAACAGTGTTTCTGTGCACTCTGGTTTCCGTCACGGTGTCCCGTTGCACCAAAAGTGGTTTAGTCATACTGGCCACATGACCCGGAAAACTGTCTGTGGACAAACGCTGGCTCCCTCGGCCTGAAAGTGAGATGAGCGCCACACCCCATAGTTGTCTTTGACTGGGCTTAACCATCCAGGGGTCCTTTACCTTACCTTTTACCTTAATATTATGAGAAGGATTTCTCTTTCTTCAGTTTCTCCACACTAGGCATATGACAAGTCCTGTGTTCTCTTTGAGGTTGTTCTTGCCCCTGGTGGGTTGGAAGACATTATTTAAATATTTTAAAAATAATTTTATAAGTTGTGTGTCCTTGTTTTCACAACTGGATCCTTTTACATGGTGTTTTTTTTGGTATTTCATGCACTGTGAATTTCCATTATTTTTAATGATTGTTGTTTAGCAATTATTTATTGTAATTGTTAAGTGTAAACTGTTTTGTTATTATTTGATTATATTTAATTTTACTGTTTACTAATATATTCTAATGGGTTATTGAATATTCTTTATTTGAAATAAGCTGTTTATTTTAAAGATATGTTTTTCTTATGACTTTTTTTTTGTATTGGATTTGATTGTTATTAGGTGTGTGATCCTTGTGGTCTGTTTTGTTGTTTTTTCAGCTTGCAAACCACCTTGTATAAAGGCAGTATACAAAATAAAAGTGAAATGAAATGAAGACACAATTGTGTCAGTCCCAGCTACATGGACTTCTTAGATTTCTCCATGGATTTATATGGACATTCTCAATTCCATCCCTGGAGACATTTAGAAATAGTGAACCAGGAAGTGACCTAGCCAGACCATGGTCCTTTCTAACATGCATGCATACAAAGTTATGGCTTTATGACTGTTTCTGCGCCTTCCTCTTCCAGCCACTCCAGCCTAATCCCACCCAGTTATCATTCCTCTCTGCAAGTTTTTCAGTATTCTGTGCGTTGAGTTCTTATCAAGATGTTTTTGGGGGCTATTGCCCATTGCATTATTTATTGCAGGTTTTTTTGCACTTGTGGTGTACTTTGCAGATCTCTCTCTCTCTGTCTGCCTCTATCTCTGTCTCTCCCCCTCTCTCTGTCTCGTGTGTGTGTGTGTGTGTGTGTGTGTGTGTGGTAGCTTTGGCACTAACACATGAAGATTCAAAGTGGTATTATACACCCACCCACCAAAACCTGTGCCCCCCAAAAAAATTAAATAAGAGATTACTTGTTCCCAATGCAAATAGAGATAATGAATGTTCAAGCTCCTTGCCTTATGCTAAGACATTTCTACAAGATAAGGTAGCATGTTCTCCAAGACAGCTTCATTTGTAGCATTCTTCCTGTCCAGACTCCAGCAAAAGGCAAGCCCGATTTGGCATCATATGTCCTGCTCACCTGTTTTGGACCTTTGCTTGTCCTGTTAAATCTCCACCACTCCCTGTCGTCTTCCGCCTACTCAAGCAATTGTTCCGCCACAAAAGCTGTGTGTATACCTAAGCGCATTCACTTCAGGCTTGCTACAATCTGACCTTCTTCCCATAGCAAAAATTTCCTTCTATGGCTATTGGTTGCTCAACTGGGTGTTTGCCAGTTTTCAAGCTGGCTACACTGTTCGGACCTCTCAGTTACACTTCACCGCAGCTCATTTTGCCTGCTCTTAAATGTGAGAAAAAATTGAAAATCAAACAATTTTATCAAGTTGATGTATAGATAGGTAGATATGAAGAAGGATAGAAAACTCAATTTCTTGTGGTTTTCTGGAATAAGCTTAAGCATTTCTGGGGTGAGAACATGCCACGACATTTCCCCGCCCTTTGGATCCCTGCTGCATGGAGTTAAGAAGCCTGCAGCCAAATATTTTGGCTGGTTATTTGAAAACTATATGTGAACTTCAGCTTTTCTCACATCTGCGGTTCCAACTGCACCTCTCTGTGCCCATTTTCGCTCTCAGTTTTCCGTCCCCTCTTAGGGACAAAGTACACGTTATGTGAGAAGTGATAATATACATTTAGAAAAAGCGGGTGGGAGTTGGCATCTGTTACCACATATTTTCCCCAACGGCTTTGCCCTAAATGTATGTTTTTCCTCTTTCCTCTTTCCCTGTGGGGAAAGGGTTAAAACAAGGATAGGGAACCTCAAGATCTGGCTGGACTCCAGCTTCCATCAGCCCCAGTCATCATAGCCAATGGCTATGGAAAATGGTGTACAACTGGAGGAACAAAGATTCTCCACTCCTGGGTCTCACTCCCCATCCAAGTCCAGCACTAGTAGTGATTGGGCACCTGCTAAGACCAGCCTTGGCAGGTCACCTACTGTCAGTCAGAGCTTCCTGAGTCATTTTGGAGGCACGTGGAAGCAAGGAGGCTCCCCAAAGCACACACCTTATCAGGGACAACTCCTTGCCCTTCTCTCAGGCTCTAGGTCCTGAGTCCAGGCTCTAGGTCCAAAGCCTAGCATGTAAGGGATGAAGTCCTGTACTTCTCTAAAGCTTAGGAAAATATCACTGTGCTTCTTTCTGATATTAGAGGCACACGGAAGCCCAACTGGGTAGTCTCCTGTACTGGGTTGCACAGCAAGCACAGAGCATTGTTTGCCAGTTCAGACAAGACAGCAAACACCATGGTCTGGTGAATGAGCAGTGAGGAGCCTCAACATGTAGATTCACCTCTCTCCTTGTATGCAGTCTGTGGCTCCTCACAGTTTGTTCCTGACATATGATATATGAAACATCTCACAATTCTCTCTCCAGGGTCAAGTCCTGGGAAACCCAAGCCTTCCAGTTTTCAGCAGAAGCTGAAAGATGGGAAATGCAGGGCAGAAGTCCTCCTTCACTCAGCACATAATTAAACTGGAATTTGCTGCTACGGGATATGGCAATGACCAATAACACAGATGCTTTTAAAAGGGAGTTGGGCAAATTCTATTTTGTTTTATTTATTGAAATATGTTTAACCCACACTTTCAATAAAAGTATATTAATGAAGTATACAACATGCAACATTATGAGTAAAAACACCTGTAGAAACATCAGTAAAACCTCTGTAAATATTCGCTAGTTCAGTTGCTAGCAGGCTAGTCTATTTTCCATCTTAAGATGGTGTGTGAACATTGAGGAAACACAGCAAGCTGTTGATGCAGGAAGAGACAAATCTTGCTCCCTTGCCAGCTTGGCACTGTAACTCAGTGAGGTTTCTTCATGTAGGTGCTTCATGTAGATCATGTGGGAAAGATAGTAGAGGTGGGAGGTTGAAGCCTCCTCTTCTCACAATCTCCTGCCTCATCTGATCCATGGGAAACAGCTGGGAGGCAGGGGAAATGGGGGACGGCAGGAATGCCTGGAGGTTCCACATCTATGTTCTGCACAATTGTACTGTAAGATTAAAGCTCATCACAAACGTGAACAAAGGTGGCAAACAAGACAGTAATGTGGTGGGTAAAATCAATTCTGACAAAGGTTGAAGACAGTCTTTGAGGCATGGCAAGCTCATAACTGCGTAAGCAGGCTGTTCAGCTTATAAACAGCAACTTGCAGAACAGACAAATGTTAGTTCAAGCTATGAGGATCAGTGTGGTAGACATTTGACTTGCGGTAAGCTGCAACTGTTGATAAATTTATGGTGTAAATGTCAGCAACCCAGGGCTTCGAGAAATTTGGGCAGCCTGATCATTAAGAAAAGTAAAAGGCCTCTCCTCCTTTTTATTGGCGCTTGTGTCAGATTCAGATGATCAAAGGCTACACAGATCACTGCAGAATGTGTAATGCACGGCTACAGACACCAAATAATTCAACACTAATGATGAAAACAGCATCCTAGCTACACAGGGGAGAGTTGCAGTGATTGAGATACAGGAGACTGCAGAACTGCTCAGAACCGGGGAAAGGCATGGACTGCATTCACTACTTGTTTATATATTAGATATAAAAGAAATAAACTCCTCGACAGTGGCCTTGTTCACATATTACACTTTTCATGGAAATTGGCACCCCCTGTGATTTAGCTGTACCTTGCAACCATAATACCAGCATAACTCAATGTGTTATTTGCTGACATCAAAAGTTTCCTTGTCCCCACCAGTGACTGCCAATGACTCAGTGGCTTGCTTTGTTTGTTTTTCTCAGAGGGTTGTATCCATCTTCATTTTCACCCTTCTACCTTTCTCCTTACCTAATATAGATAATTCCTTTTGTTGTGGAGAGGTTGGAAGCAAGGCAGCAGCAAAACACTTGAATATACATAACTGGGCAGAAACATAGATCGATATATTTAATATTGACCGTAATAGTTTCTCTTTGGAGACTGTGATGACTTCCGTCATTTTCTTTATTCAGTCACATTCAGTCACTTTCTTTATTCATGCACTGTAATATAAGTCTTAACGGCTAATAAAATGTTCACCATCCCTAATTTAATCCAAGGCAATACCTGCAACTTTTCATGGGCCAGCAAGAGATTTTACGTTAAATCCTAGATACTATTACAGAAACTTTATTTATTTTATTTATTTATCTTTCTTTCTTGATTTAATCTCTCCTCCCTCTTAAGCAGGAGTCAGCAAACTTTTAAAGCATTCGGCTGGTTCGCTGTCCCTCAGACCTTGTGGGGGGCAAGACTATATGGGGGGGGGAATGAACGAATTCCTATTCCCCACAAATAACCCAGAGATGCATTTTAAATAAAAGGACACATTCTACTCATGTAAAAACACGCTGATTCCCGAACTGTCTGCAGGCTGGATTTAGAAGGCGATTGGGATAAGGATGAAATGTGCATCTATCTTATATAGCATTCTTTTACTTCGGAGGTTGAGTTTACAGTCGGTGGTGTTGTTGCGAATGGGCTTCAGGGCAGAAGTCCAGGACCTTACAGATGAAGGGGCTCCCAGAGTGAATGATGGCAAATAATGAGGACATTGGCAGGAGGCCTCAGAGCAAAGCAGAAGCGGCAGTCGATGTGCCTCCAGCCAGCCATCATCCTCTCTTGCATGGAATGCCTTTGAGCCATGAGGCTCAGAGACATTGTGAGCAAACAAAGATGACAGGGAGCTGGAGGAGCATCCCTTGCAGTGAGCTCTTTGTGACCCAGCCTCCCCATCTAAACTCTTTCCTGCTTGTTAAGCATATAGGGGAAGGACCCTTTAAAAGCCATCCTTTCCCATCTAGTAAGCTTATTAAGAGAGCAGAACAAGGGGATGGCAGGCAAAGAGAGAGCAAAGCAGCCAATCCAGGACTATGTAAAATCATATAATCATAGAACTGTTAGAGTTGGAAAGGACCCCAGGCGTCGTGTATTCCAGCTCCTGCAGTGCAGGAATCTCAACTAAAGCATCCATGACAGATGGCCATCCAACTACTGCTTATATGGGTGGGGACAGATCAGCAGAGAGTGAGGTGATGCAGTCCCCACCTTGCAAAAAGGCACCCTGCCCAAGCCTGACAGCGCTCCTGATCTACAGTATATATTACAATGTGAAAAGTCATTTAGGTTCTCTCTGATACTTTTCTAAGGATTGAAGCTTGCAGAGCATCCTAGGCGGTATAAATTATGAACATTTTCCATACGACTAATAAAACGTGTCCTGCTTGAGCAAACACCTTAGGCTTTGTTTCCTGTGAATCGAATAGTGCTTTAAGCAGAGCATGACTTGTATTTTTCCTGCTAACAAAGTGGGATCGTTTCTATTAGCACTTTACTAGGTTTATATTGAATGGGCACAGCGTAATAAAACAGGGTGGCTTCTGAATTAATCAGGTGTCCCTTAGCTAAGCACTGGCAGAAAGCTACCCGGCCTTCCAATATTCCCTTCCTTTCCTTGTACATAGTGCTAGTTTGCAGTCAAGGATGCCTTTGCCTGCTCTTCAGATCAAAGAATTATGGAGTTGGAAGGAGGGACCTCAAGGATCATCTAGTAGTCCAACCCGCTGCAATGCAGGAATCTCAACTAAAGCATCTATGGCAGATGACCATCCTACCTCTGCTTAAAAACCTCTAACGGAGAGCCCACCACCTCCTGAAGGAGTCTGTTCCATTGTTGAACAGCTCTTACTCTCAGAAAGTTCTTCCTGATGTTTAGTTGGAATCTCCTTTCTTGTAACTTGAAGTCATTGGTTTGAGTTCTATGCTCCAGAACAGGAAAAAACAAGCTCGCTCCTTCTTCCATGTAGCAGTCCTTTAGAGCACACAGGAAGAAGGGAGCATACATCTCTAAATGGGTTTTGCCAGACTTTGTTTGTTTAACTCTTTTGCTGCCCATTGTTGGGCCAAAGTCATGGAAGCATCCCTCAGGTTGGTACCAACTCACCCAGCTTTTGAAGGTGTGCCTGCCCAGACAAGGTGATATGAAGTTATTCCTGAGATGTGAAGTGCCCTTTGTAATTACACTTTCACACTGTCTAATTCATGCCCTGATGTTGCAGTTATCCAAGTGATAATAGTAGTACATGTGAGAATTTGGGTCTGCTTCTCATGCTGGTTCATCCAGCAACGTTGGGTTAGTGCACGTACGATGCCCAATTCTGTTGAGGCAGAGCCCATAGAAGGGTTGGGAAAAGCGAGGTTCAGCAAGTTATCTTGAGCCGATGTCAGTGGGTTGTTGATACACAGGGGTCTGAATGTCCTGTGCGAGGTTGGGAATCATGGAGCAGAGAGCAAAGGTGGTCAGGGGCAGCAGGTCTTTCAGCACCCTGGACAGATCACAAAGAGATGATTTGTTCCTTAGTTCTAATTGGGCCTGAATTCCTTTCTGCAAACCTGCATCACTGGCTACCGCAACCTTTTACTCTGCATCTCTGTTTAGTTTACTGCTTATAACTAGGGTCACTCAGGACACTCACCTTGGTGCTTAAATCATGACATGTATCTTTGCTGACATCCATGCACATGATGCCTTTCATGGTTTATTTTCTACTATCCACCTTGAAAGAAAAATGGAAGGATTGTGGGAAATTGTGGCTAAATAGCACATATAACCTCCCGACTTTTCTCCAGGTTCTTTATTATTATCAGCTGAAAGTGTTATCGAGGCTGAAACATGCAAGCAGATATGCTCAGGGAAGCTCACTTTACACCCCACAGTGTGTTTAGTGGCAGATCCATAGTTTTCCCTCATTGGGATTTACTAATGTCTTCAAGATAAAGTTAATAACATAAAGGCTTTTAGCATAGATCCTCTCCACATCCAATTCCGTCATATTTCTACCATGAAAACAATTTGTGTGCCAGTGATAATGCTGTCTCAAGTCTTAAATGGAAAGCCTTAATGCCCATTTGTCTCTGTGGATGTCTGTCACTAGGGAACTAGTTAAGAGATGTCTTGGGTTAACACCGGTGTGCTTGCTAATGGTCGTAGGGCAGCACTAAATTTATTTGTTTCTTGTACGGATAGCTTTCTTTTTCACCAAGGAGATCAGAGAAGCATGTTTAGCCACATAATAACTGTCATTTAGGTTAGACCAGTGTTTCCCAGTTATTTTGGAGCTACAATTCCCATCATCCATAGCTGGTCAGGGATGATGGAATTATAGCCCCAAAACAGTTGGAGACCAAAGTTTGGGTTAGACCAAAGCCATACAACTTGCAACCCACAAATTTGAACCAGGGGCAAAGAAAGCAGGAAGCGATTCACAAAGAAGACATGATTTTGGGTTTATTCTAGATTGGATTGCAAAATGTAGTGGACTTTTGAGACCACTTGCTGCTTTTGCTTTTTATGCTTCATAATCATAGATATAGGGGGTTCCTGAGGCATGAAGTGCAGAGTGGATTGGGACGCCCCTGAAACACTAAACAAAACCTCCCCCTCCAGATTCCTCTTAAAGATGCAAGCTGAAATACTCTGTTGATCTACTATATTTCTTTCACTTTTCACCCTAATTTCAATGGGTGTACTCTGAGTAGCGTTATAGGTGCTTGTTGAAGAGTAAGAAGGACTTGATTATACAAATGGGGCTGGCTGACAAACTTCTTGGAGTTTGTGCCTTACCTCACATCAATTAGCATATTCTGACAAACAGTGTTGGAGATTAACACCACTTACCCGTTTAAATGCACTTCAGAAGAAAAGAAAAGAAAAATGTAAATATTGATTTTTTGAGTCAATGTGATCATGGGAACACAATGAGCATTTAAGCATAAGATTTTACAAATCCTCACTAAGACTGCAGTCCTGTACTCACTTAGCTGGCATGAATTCCCATTGAACTCAAGGGGGTTTGTTGCTAATTAGATATTATGTGGCCTTATGGATTCAACCTTAATCTACCAGCATCAGTCTTTGATGTAATTCTAGGAATGGATTTTTCTTCCCCATGAAACTTGCCTGATAGAAACAAAAAACCAAAATCATTGATCCAAATGCCTTTCTGCTTCAGTTGTTGGTGGTAACTGGCTGCAGCAATGTATTGGTAGCAACTGAGATTTTACTGTAGTGTGGGTTTTTTGGGTTTTGATACTGATGTGTTAAGTTACATGCCAGGGTAGCCAATGTGGTTCCCTCCAGATGTTTAGCAGTGTGTGTGTGTGTATACACACACACACTGCTGTATCATAAAAATATATCGCAGCAGTTTACAACAATATAAAAAAGTAAAACCAGGCAATAAAAGCACAAAAAGTTAAAAAGAAATTACAAGCAAACATTAACAAACCATTGTAGGGGATATACTCTGGTGGAATAGAAAAGTTTACAGGAGGTATTTAAAAGCTGGCACAGAAGGTGCCTGTTGAATCTCTATTGGCAGGGTGTTGCACAGGACTGGCTGATGTCAGGGACTGGCTGGATGAAGAAGAGTGGTAGGAGGCACCAGAAGGGAAACCACCCAAGGGAAACCCCAAAGGAGGAAGGCTCAGAGCCAGGAGATTGGTGGCGGGACTCTGAGGAGAGGTCAGATGGAGAAGAGTGGGGAGGAGGTACCAGATGCTGAAGGGGCAACAGGGTTTAGTGAGCAGGAAGAGTCTGTGACAGGGAATAGTTCAGACTCGGAGGCTGAAGCAGAGGAGGGGAGTCAAGAGGCTGCAGAAGAATCCAGGGAGTCTCCCTCTCCTTCTGCAACAAGCTCCTCTCCACCCTGGTCTCCAAGAACATGCAGAATTATGAGGAGAGCAGAATGGAGGCCAGAGGTGTGCAGATGCAGTTTGAGACTGGTTGGGAAACATTCAGGGGAGGAGGAATCTTAGAAAGGGTGGATAGCAGATCTTCAGTCCTGGCAACTGCTCCATAGGGGCAAGACCTACTGGAAAGTGTGCTTAGACCACTAGTCCGAGTTGTATGTTTGTTTCCTTGAATAGAGAGTTAAATTCACCAACAACGGAGATCTGCTTCTTTCCTTTCTGACATGTGTCTGACTCCAGCCCTGACAGCCGATGACACTAATGGCTTGGTTTGTCATTGTTGTCAACAAACCCTCACCAATTCTGGAAGAATCAACAGGGTCACACTTCCTGTCTGTTGTCCAGCAGAGGTCATCACACAGAGCAACCAAAGGAGTTTCCATGCCAAAACCAGCTCGAAACCCTGATTGAAATGAATCTAGAAAATCTGTCTCATTCAAGAGAATCTGGAACTCTCTTAGGAATGTTTGCATCCATTGTAAGATGCTTGTTTTTATATAAAAACATGAGAGAAGCAGATTGTTTTAGTATTTTGGTTCCAAATAATCATTTCTGAGCCTTAGGAGTAGGGAAATATATCAAAATGAGGTCTTCTGCTTCTGGACTTCAATGTCTTCTTGGAAAAATAATTCCAAATGCCACTGTGGGAGTCTTTGCAATTAAAAGTCCTTCATGGCAGTGATTTTTTTATGCTTCTGTGCCTTCTTGAGTTCTCTGCTGTGTTCTGATTTATAGTGGATGATGCAGTGTTTGGAGTAAACACGAAGCTGCTGCTAATGAAATTTTAATAATTTTCTTCTATTTTCAGGCTCAGATATTGGTGCAGTTGAAGTAAGTGACAGCATACTCTAGACAACGGTCCCATTCCTTCTTGAGGATTGTCCATAAAATTTCAGATTCAGTATTTTGTCAATAACAACACTAGCAGGGCAATTCTGTGCATGTAACCTCAGAGGTAAGCCCTCTGAATTCAATGCAACTACCTGGGTAAATCCTGGGTTACATCCCAAATCAATACTGGGCCAATACCTTTATTAGGGACGTGGGTGGTGCTGTGGGTTAAACTACAGAGCCTAGGACTTGTCGATCAGAAGGTCGGTGGTTCGAATACCCATGACAGGGTGAGCTCCCATTGCTCGATCCCTGCTCCTGCCTACCTAGCAGTTCGAAAGCACGTCAAAGTGCAAGTAGATAAATAGGTAGCGCTCCGGCGGGAAGGTAAACGGCGTTTCCGTGCGCTGCTCTGGTTCGCCAGAAGCAGCTTAGTCATGCTGGCCACATGACCCAGAAGCTGTACACCGGCTCACTCGGCCAATAAAGCGAGATGAGCGCCGCAACCCCAGAGTCGGTCACGACTGGACCTAATGGTCAGGGGTCCCTTTACCTTTACCTTAACTTTATTAGGGCAACCAAAGCATCACCAAATAGTGTGCAAAACTTGAGTTCGCCACAACTTTTCATTTTGTTGTTGTTGTTTAGTTGTTTAGTCGTGTCTGACTCTTAATGACCCCAAGGACCAGAGCATGCCAGGCACTCCTTTCTTCCACTGCCTCCCACAGTTTGGTCAAGCTCATGTTGGTAGCTTCGAGAACACTGTCCAGCCATCTCATCCTCTGTCATCCCCTTCTCCTTGTGCCCTCAATCTTTCCCAATATCAGGGTCTTTTGCAGGAAGTCTTCTCTTCTCATGAGGTGGCCAAAGTACTGGAGCCTCAGCTTCAGGATCTGTCCTTCCAGTGAGCACTCAGGGCTGATTTCCTTAAGAATGGAGAGGTTTGATCTTGCAGTCCATGGGACTCTCAAGAGTCTCCTCCAGCACCAGAATTCAAAAGCATCAATTCTTCGGCGATCAGCCTTCTTTATGGTCCAGCCCTCACTTTCATACATCACTACTGGGAAAACCATAGCTTTAACTATACGGACCTTTGTTGGCAAGGTGATGTCTCTGCTTTTTAAGATGCAGTCTAGGTTTGTCATTGCTTTTCTCCCAAGAAGCAGGCATCTTTTAATTTCATGACTGCTGTCACCATCTGCAGTGATCATGGAACCCAAGAAAGTAAAATCTTTCACTGCCTCCATTTCTTCCCCTTCTGTTTGCCAGGAGGTGATGGGACCAGTGGCCATGATCTTAGTTTTTTTGATGTTGATATTTTGCGTTCTCCTCTTTCACCCTCATGCTAAACCAGCAGTGGGGAATGTCTGACCTTCAGCCCTAATTAGGTCCAACAGTTAGTGTCAGCTCTGGTCGCTTCTAACTTCTGAAAAATTAAAAAAAATATATAAAAGGTGTGTCCATGTGTGTGCTAAGGATATTCTTCAGATTTGAAATCTTTCAACAGTTAGTTCCCCTTCAATAGATAAGTTGCATAACATTGGGAAACTTCAAACACCCATCAATATCTGCTCCCCCTCTCATACATGCACTTGAAGATACGGACTCTTGTCACATACCACTAACAAGCCACCCATTTTTGTATGTAGTTTACAGACAACTCTTTCAGGCTTGATTTTGAAGGAGCTGATAAGCTTTCTAGTCCTCCCAGGACTGCATCCTTGACTTGAGTTCTGAGCATCGTCTTGGAATTTGTGGGATTTCCCTTCCAAAATATATTAAGGAAAGAATTGTAAGCTTTTGCTATTGCGTAAATGCATACATATGGGACGCTGGTGGTGCTGTGGGTTAAACCACAGAGCCTAGGGCTTGCCGATCAGAAGGTCAGCGGTTCAAATCTCCGCGACGGGGTGAGCTCCCGTTGTTCGGTCCCAGCTCCTGCCAACCTAGCAGTTCGAAAGCACGTCAAAGTGCAAGTAGAGAAATAGGTACTGCTCTGGCGGGAAGGTAAACGGTGTTCCCGTGCGCTGCTCTGGTTCGCCAGAAGCGGCTTAGTCATGCTGGCCACATGACCCGGAAGCTGTACACTGGCTCCCTCGGCCAATAAAGCGAGATGAGCACCGCAACCCCAGAGTCGGTCACGACTGGACCTAATGGTCAGGGGTCCCTTTACCTTTACCTTTAAATGCATACATATTGTTTGAAAACTCCAGTAGTAAGCATGCTAATATTTCAGATATTGCAATATTTGCTCTGTGGGACAAAACATCATGGATCTGCTGTTACCCTGACTTTTGTTAGCTCAAAATTCACATCTCCATTTCTATCAGCGATGACTTCAGTGCCAACCATCCTTTGCTACATCAGTTGCTTGCTTCTCTTATTTTCAGGTTTCTACCTCCCTACTTCTTTGAGCTCTCTGCATTTCCATCTCTCTCTCTGCCTTCCCTGCCCTTCTGTCACATCAGTCAGAGGCATCATGAACACTACCATAGCCACAAAATCCCTCAATGCATTGCAATATAAATTGCTGCAGCAATGGTTTCTTTCTGGCAGCGGGTTAATTGCTCTATCTTGTCTGAAAGACAAATGAAATAGATGAGTGCTTCGGTTTTGTTTTATGGCGAGTATACCCCTGATATCTGGAGCCAGCATTGGATTTTTTCTTCTTCTCTTCCTTCTGAGTACAAACAGCAATCAACATCAGGCCTCTAAATAATTCTAAGCTAAACACATCCTATGAGATAAATATTTATTAGAAATGCCCAATTAGGCAGAAATAATAGCTAATTTTCCTTGCTACCATTAAAAATGTCGGCCATTTTCTGCTTCAAGAAGTAGAGATGTGAGTTGGGAAACATAAAACAAAATATTGCATCATAAAACAGGACAAGGGCAAGCACATTTATGTTACATTTTATTTATTTACTTACTTGTTTATTAAATTTGTATACCACCCTCTATCTGAAGATCACAGGGCAGTTCACAACATAAAAATACAAAATGAGAACACAAAATACATAATCATCATAAAAAGCAAACCAATAGCCCCAACACATTTTAAATGCCTTACAATGTTTAATTGCATCAATCTAATTACATGGATTGGTTTTACCTAAATTATGTGTTTTGAACTCTGCCACGCCACTCCTGGCTCCTGGTTGGATACAAACGAAGGCTGCAAACATATAAATTGCCTGGGACGTATGCTTTATTCAAGTCAATGAGATACAGATAAGAGTTGCACTGCAAGTTAGTTGAACTTCAGTCTCATTGAAATCCATTGGATAATTTATTAATGACTTAAGTCCCCATTGATTTAAATAGCAACTAAGTTCAACTAATGTAGACCTGCTCCAACCATCCATACTTTGTCTATGCCCCACTGAATCCTTAGTAGAGCCAGGAGAAAATGGTACTCATTGTCCTTTCTGTATTTTTTATATGGTAGCTATATTGGAGCTTGCTTGCTTTCTTTCTTTCTTTCTTTCTTTCTTTCTTTCTTTCTTTCTTTCTTTCTTTCTTTCTTTCTCCCTCCCTCCCTCCCTCCCTCCCTCCCTCTCTCTCTCTCTCTCTCCATTATCTTTATGAGGACTTTAAAATGGGTGCTACTCAACAAAGTAGATCTGCTAGCACAATACGTAGGGCTGCATAATGGAACTTTCCTTCCTTCTCATTTCTCTGTGCACCTCTTGAATCTGTTCCAGGGTTCCCCCAAACGCCTCAGAGAAGATTAGGGGAGGGCAAGGAGATGCATAGGAAGAGGGTAGGAAGGGAAAGTTCCATCGCGCAAGTGGAAGTATTTCGTCAGATACTGCCTAATGTAATTATTCTTTCTAACTGGGTGAGAAAGCTATGGTAGTGTCCATTATATAATTTCACATAAAGCAAAGGGAATGAGTGTTTAATGTTTTAGCTGGAATGTGTCAAGCTTCCTGCTTACCGCATTGTGTGGAAACACATCCAGTTAAAGGGAATCTCAAGCTGTTGGATCCATTTACTTTGGCTGCTCAAAGCAGAGCACCCAATTTATTCCACCCAGAAGTTAAATTGCATTGCTGACATTTCAAATGGAGATGGATGGTTTCATTTCATACTACCTTGGCATGTTTTGCTGCGCAGCATCAGAGTTGCACTGTTTCAGCAAGAGTGAAAGGAATAGGAAAATGAGACAAGAGATTTGGTGCACAACTAGCTCTGTTTGTAATGGAGCATACATTCTGCATATACTTACAAATGTTATTTACAATTAAGCAGTATATATAAATGTTGTTAAATAAAAATTGTGGAAAGGGATGACTCATTTTCTTTAATTGATTTCATACAATGCAAACCAGTTAAACGTAGAGTCAGACCAATGCTAGCCTATTAAGCTCAACTCTTAAAAACAAATTCATTTTATTAATATAATGTAAGACTGTATTGCTTAGAAGGCAAAAACAAATTGATGGCTGGGACCCAAAAATCCAACCCATCAGTTCCACATACCCCAAGGACTTGCTTGCATTCCTTGAGCTGAAAGTTCACCACACCACATAGCAAATTTGCTTTGAAACACAGGGGACATTCAAAAGCAGGTTGTGTTGTAGTGACATGGGGTGTGTATGTCTGATGTTCAAAGTAAGCAAGCCAAAGAAATCTTAACAGGCACACTCAAGTCCTGGGGGACCTAAAGTAGCTCTTTGGATCTTGGCCCATGACTGCCCTGAATTTAGTAAATTGGCTGTGGGTAAGTTACGGGACATGGATCAGGTGGCTTTGATGTCCAGATCCTACCTTTGTTCCCTACACCACATTTTTATGGCCTTAAAAACAATCCAACACCTGGATGAAGTAGCTTGGACTTCCAAAGAAGTGTAGCTTCTCAAGAACCAAGTGAATTGATGTGATTTGGTCTCTTATTACAACTCTGCTACTTCATTCATTGAGAGCCATTGTGGTGTTGTAGTTAAGAGCGGTGAATTTGTAATCTGGTGAACCGGGTTCGCATCCCCACTCCTCCACATGCAGCTGCTGGGTGACTTTGGACTACTCACACTTCTCTGAAGTCTCTCAGCCTCACTCACCTCACAGAGTGTTGGTTGTGGGGGAGGAAGGGAAAGGAGGGAAAGGAGATTGTTAGCTGCTCTGAGACACCTTAGGGTAGTGATAAAGCGGGATATCAAATCCAAACTCCTCCTCCTCCTCCTCTTCTTCTTCATTCTCTAATGTAGTCTTTGCCAACCTGGTGCTTTCTGGGTGATTTGGATTATGATTTCCATCTTCACCGGCAAGCATGGTATCTGGGCCTGATGGAAGTTGTATCCCAAAGCATTCAAAGGGCACCTGGCTGCTGAAGGATGCATGAATAGTAATAATCTCTTAATGTTGGTCCCATTGCAAGGCCAGACTGTGCATGTGGCAGAAAGTTGTGTTAAACCTAAACATGATGAGCCTAGATCCAGGAACTAAGCTGTTCCTACTTATTGCATTTATTGCCTAGAAACTTGGAAGAATAATTAAAACATTTCCCCCCCTTTTCTTCCTCTAATTCTGGTATTCCATCTTGACTGTATGGGACACTTTAAAAGCCTTTTAGCAGGAGGTGGTTGTTAAGAAAAGCAGTCACTAAGAGGAAAAACAGATTGAGAATTGATACTCTGAAAGATGCCGAAAGTCTGGAAGCTCAACATAAAAGCTCGAATTCCAACAGAGTCTACCAAAGATTAATAGCTGCTGCCAGAAGCAAGTTTAAAATCTGGGAAACTTCTAAAGCAGAAGCAGCTCTCATCCACTTTTCAAGCATGTTCATTACACAAGAAACAAAAAAAACACACAGATTCCTTGCAGTTTAATAGACTAGTATTCCTATTTCTTATATTGATCTGGGGTGGTGATTGGTTTTGAATCTCACTCCCCCCCTGTCCAGCCACAAATGCAGTTCTCTCTATATGGTTCTTTCAAATAACATTGTTAACAGTTATGTTTAGAAAAGTAGGCTTATGCAATATAAAATAAAGCACTGTTCATCATCTTTAGGCAGGGTCAGTAATTGTTTTATATTAAAAAATGTCTTGTCACATGTCTGCAACCTGTAATATACCAACTCCCAGTAAAGTTTCAGGCCTTGTTGATTTAAAACACAAAGATTTTTCAATTTCATTGTTCTGTATGGGACAATGATAATAAAGATATTAGAGGGGGAAAAGATATTTGTCTTTGTTAGCTCATTTGTTGTTTAGTCATGTCCGACTCTTCGTGACCCCATGGACCAGAGCACTCCAGGCATTCCTGTCTTCCACTGCTCCCCGCAGTTTGGTCAAACTCATGTTGGTAGCTTCGAGAACACTGTCCAACCATCTCATCCTCTGTCGTCCCCTTCTCCTTGTGCCCTCAATCTTTCCCAACATCAGGGTCTTTTCCAGGGAGTCTTCTCTTCTCATGAGGTGGCCAAAGTATTGCAGCATAAGCTTTAGGATCTGTCCTTCCAGTGAGCACTCAGGGTTGATTTCCTTCAGAATTGATAGGTTTGACCTTCTTGCTTTGATCTCAAGAGTCTCCTCCAGCACCATAATTCAAAAGCATTCAACAACCAGCCTTCTTTATGGTCCAGCTCTCACTTCCATATATCTTTTGGGAAAACCATAACTTTAACTATACAGACCTTTGTTGGCAAGGTGATGCCTCTGCTTTTTAAGATGCTGTCTAGGTTTGTCATTGCTTTTCTCCCAAGAAGCCAGGTGTCTTTTAATTTTGTGACTGCTGTCACCATCTGCAGTGATCATGGAGCCCAAGAAAGTAAAATCTCTCACTGCCTCCATTTCATCCCCTTCTATTTGCCAGGAGGTGATGGGATCAGTGGCCATGATCTTAGTTTTTTTGATGCTCTCCTCCTTTAATGTTAGCTCATAGAAACGAACTAATCTGGTTTCATACCTGGCCTGAAAATCCTTAAAGGCTGCTCATTAACAGCTCCTGGATGCTAAGAAGTAATGGCAATATTTAACGGTCACAACTGCTAGGATCCAGTGTGCAGCAGCTGTGAAACAGGCGAATTCCATGCTGGGGATCATTAGGAAAAGAACTGAAAATAAAACCGTGAATATTACACGGTTGTTACACAAATTCATGGTGCTACTGCACTTGAAATACAGTGTACAGTTCTGGTCGCCTCAGGATATTGTAGTCTTGGAGAAGGTTCAGAAAATGATCAAGAGGGTGGAGCAACTTACCTATGAGGAAAGGCTGCAATGTTTGGAACTGTTTTGAATTTAGAGAAAAGATGAGTAAAGGTGACGTGATGGAAGTTTGCAAAATCATGCATGTCTTGGAAAAAGCGGATAGAGAAATGTCCCCACCCCCCTCTCATAACACTAGAAGTCATGGACATGGAAGATTCACGACAGATGAAAGAAAGCATTTCATGCACTGCATAGTTAAACTATGGCACTCATTTCCACAAAAGGCAGTGAAGCCCAATACATGCATTAGCATCTGTTCAGGATTAGGAACCACACTCAAAAGCAGTCACAGCCATTAATGGTGCCTTATCAACCATTAAGGCTAGGGAACAACACACACAAACTCCGTTTTCTGTTCACCACTCGCTGCAGGAAAAAAATCCTAAGGCACAACCTGAGCAGCTCTTATGTCCTGGTACCTGGGGCCTCCAATTTTACAGCAGGCTGCTTGAGAAAGGGTCTTCTTCTTCTTCCCCATTCCTTGATGTGGGTAATATCCATGCTCTGACCTTTCTTCCCTCTCCAGTTTCCTTTCTTGACTCTAACTCTGCAAGCAAGCTACGCAGCCCACTTCAAGTGGTGTGTTTATATTTGATTCCCTTCACAGTTTGGTTTGCGCCTTGTCTTATGAGGCTCCATCTCTGTGTCTCAGCCCTCTCTGCTTCCTTCCCTCTCCGTAGACTTAACCAAATAATAGTTAGTCTAATCTGAACACTATCTATATGCTTAATATGCCTATTTTGGTAATAAACTGCATAACTGAGTAGAGTGGTACCTCTGCTTACGAACTTAATTCGTTCCGGAGGTCCGTTCTTAACCTGAAACCATTCTTAACCTGAGGTACCACTTTAGCTAATGGGGCCTCCCACTGCTGCCGTGCCACTGCCACACGATTTCTGTTCTCATCCTGAGGTAAAGTTCTCAACCCGAGGTACTACTTCCGCGTTAGTGGAGTCTGTAACCCGAAGTGTTTGTAACCCGAGGTACCACTGTACTCAAAACTCTTCCTTTCCCCTACCACTCAGAAATCCCAGCTTGTGCTGTGGCATATTGCATGTTTTGGTTAAAGACCCTGATGTGTTTTCCTTGTGTGTAGGTGTATGCTCATGTAGACAAGGACACATGGCAACAGGGTGTACACTTACAAGAATTGAAGCTTTTATATACTAAATTAGAAGCAGCTGTCATTGTGAATAGTGTGGATGTAGCCTACACGGTGTCTTGATAAGTGGCAGAGGAATGTCTCGTTTTCTACCACTTGCAGTGTTGCTTGAACTCTTTCTGAAAAACACTTTAGACAAAACGCTGACACACACACAACTAGAAACAATGTCTTGGATCCCTGCATTCCCAGGAGCAGAGGTCTACTCATAGGAGTCTCCCACTGGTGGAAGCAGGGAGAGGAAGAATATTGCTTTTGTCAATTCCCTCTTCCTTCTGCATACCCTAATAGAAGAGTTTGGATTTGGATTTGATATCCCGCTTTATCACTACCCTAAGGAGTCTCAAAGTGGCCAACAATATCCTTTCCTTTCCTCCCCCACAACAAACACTCTGTGAGGTGAGTGGGGCTGAGAGACTTCAGAGAAGTGTGACTTGCCCAAGGTCACCCAGCAGCTGCATGTGGAGGAGCGGGGAAGCGAACCCGGTTCACCAGATTACGAGTCCGCCGCTCTTAACCGCTACACCACACTGGCCTGGGGGCAGGAGGAGCATTGAGGTAGTTCTGGGGACTGTAGAGGGAGGTGGAATAGATCGAAATCAACTTCTTTCAACCAGCAGGAGTACTTTAATAATAAAATGACACAGGTGGAACAGCTTTGCCATCCCAATTGGATTTAACTACCACCACCACCCTGGCTACCATTAAACTTTTTTAAAGCACCTATATTGAGCCACCTTCTGAGTCCCTTCTCCCAATGCCACATCCCTTCAGAGACAAGGTAGACAAGGTAGACGTCAACAAGGGGGAACGTTTTTTTGGCTGTGGTATCCACATACAGTGGTACCTCGGGTTAAGAACTTAATTCATTCCGGAGGTCCGTTCTTAACCTGAAACTGTTCTTAACCTGAAGCACCACTTTAGCTAATGGGGCCTCCCGCTGCTGCCGCACCACCGGAACCGATTTCTGTTCTCATCCTGAAGCAAAGTTCTTAACCCGAGGTACTATTTCTGGGTTAGCGGAGTCTGTAACCTGAAGCGTCTGTCACCTGAAGCGTATGTAACCCAAGGTACCATTGTACTGTGTTTTGGAGTTTTTAAAAAAATCATTTTATGCAGTTGTTCACTTTATTTGAACTGTACTTTTAGAATTGTGATCTTCTAAGCAGCTCCATAAATCAGTTCCGGTGAAGGGTGGCCTATAAATATTTAACATTAAATAATTACATCAATAACCAGCACCTAAGAGATCTGAACAAGACCCTCCCACCATCATATCTTGTTACACCTTTGTGCCTTGCTATACAATGAGCATTTAATGGAATAAATGTCTGTCTGTTCCCTAAATTATGGTGTACAAGTTTCTAGCTTTATTCAAAGACAGCCCTGCTGCTGCTGGGATATCACTAATGGAACAACTGATTTAGAACTACTTTAGATGCATGCTGTAGTCTGGTCAGGAGGGCTCTGTCTAATCCCCCTTCAAGATTGCACACCTTGCTATGTTTCCCATGTTTTTTCAGCTCTTAGTATGGATGATGCTTAAATAAGGTCATACCCAGACTCTTTGAGCATACTTCTGCCTCTCTAACAACCATATTTGGACTGGGTGGTGATTCCTTAGGTATGCCAAATAATTTCTTTCCCCTGTACGCCAAACTCCTTTACTTATTCCAAAACTGGTTTTGTGGAGACCCTCCTTCTTTAGAAAAGCAAAACTGTACATAATTCTTTGCTTCTTTGGCGATACCTTTTTCCTGCATGACAGCCTGTCTTTAGCAATATGGTGAACAATTACATTTCCAATCTCTTCATTAATTCCATATAGTTATTAGATTTTCAGAGCTTAAATCTGGATTGATAACTACAGGAAGATGGTGTCAGTTCTTGTTAGCAACAGAGATGAGTTCCCTCTTTCGTTTTTCTGTCCTTAGAGAAGAGCGAAATAATGCTGTTTCGACACTTTTAATGGCGCCGTGGAAGGCCTCATGTCTGAAGAAAGACGTGTGCCCTGGCAGCAAATGAGCCTTATAGGAAATAAGAAGCAGGAAGAAAGGTGGTGATGTTTCAGAAGGGAACTGCACCTGTGTTTCTTTCCATTTCCCCACACTGCTTGCCTTTTCCCAGCAATACTGTATTTGTCGTCTGTTTCTCCCTATGCCACTTACCTGCAAAACTGTGCCCAGAGTGGCTTACAGCCTATCAAATTAGCAATAGCAATAAGAAAGTATTAGAAGCGCCACATCCCAGATGATGCACTTGTCTGGATAATTTGGATCTGGGGTTCAATCTGCAAACATCCTGGGACTCCACCCTGTCACTCAGCTGGAGTAATGCAAACACTCCCATCCTGGCTTGCAACTGGAAGGGCTTTCTTTATAGCCACTATTAGGGTGAGGCGATTGAACGATCTAACATGTGCAAGGGATTTGTGGGTTTTGAGTGCAATAGAGAGATTCTTGTGAAAGCAAGGGGCTCACTTGGAGCTGTCTGTGGTCCTGTAACTTCTGACCTGCCTGACCACCTTGAAGATCAGTGGGCATCAGACCTGAGCACGATGGATGTCTTTCTTTCAAATATTCTGCTTCCGGCATCAGCCAGAAGCGATTAAATTTGAGGATCGTTACAGAACACAGCAGGAAAGTGATGAAATGACTCTCCCCTTTCCTAGCTTTTTTTTTTTTTAAAAAAATATTTTTAAAACAATTGCCAAGCAGAAAGTTTTGCCCTCCAAGACAAATACATGCACAGGTGTTAAGTCCTGTATGCAGTCATCCACATGGCATCAAAACAAACTTGGAAAATCTTTTACATTGCAGATTAAGATCACATCTACAGTGTATACTTATGAATCAAATCAATAATAATATTTTGTTGTCCTTGTTTCAACTATTTACTTGTGTTTTTACTTTGTAGTTTTAGTGTTGAGACAAAAAGTAAAAGCACAAGTAGCCCTGAGATCTTGTGAGGAAAGGCGGTATATAAATCTAATTAATAATAATAATAATAATAATATACTTCAGTCTGAAGCATTAAGGTTATTTTTCCATAGTGGCTGCTGTGACTCAGTATGCTACTTTGATTGTGGTGTGTTGCTGTAACATAGAGTGAAAAATAGAATATTAAAATGATATTTATTATTAATGACAGCTATTATTTATTAAAGCTATATGTTGCCTCACACTTCCTTTAGGCATCTATATTGAGGATTTGACAGTATGCAGATTTGTTTAAATTTAAACCATTAATAGGCGGATGATTAATCTTTCCCAATTTTGTAATTGCTTGACAACCCTAATTAAACCCTTGATACTGCAAGACTGAGATGTCTGAAATATGGGAATAGATTTGGACTTGTAACATATTTATTTCACAGGAAATCTAACTGAAATTATCAAATGACTTGACTCTTTATCAGTAAAATTTATTTCCGCTTTTAAAATATCAAACCCTTGTTTATGTTCCTGAGGATGTGGAACTTTGTGAAAAATACTCGGTTTCGTTTTTATGGGCAAATCTTAGAAGAAACCATTTTATGGTTTGTAAATAAATGTGAGCATGGGATCACTGGACTGTGCCAGAAAGAGAAAAAGCTCAGCATAACTGCAGTGTAGTGAAGCTTCGCAGACTCCAAAGCTGGTTTGATTTGATATTATTTCAGGGTTCTTAGCTGTTGCTGCTTTTTCTACTGGTTCAGCGGCCTTAATTTTGTTGTTTTACTGCTTTTTTGGAGTTGCTTTTTGGTGTTTCTGTGTTGAAATCCTTGGATGCTGAATTGGCATTCCTGTTCAAGAATGAAAATAAATCGAATGTGGTGCCCCCTATCATTTGGTTGAGGTCCTTTTATTCTTCAGTCATCGCTAATCTATACACCCCAGGTTTGTCCCTTATTTCCTTAGGAGATTTGGACAACAGATAGTGAATTCTATCAGATTTTATCCAGGGTGTGCATGAGTGTGTGTGTGTATTTGGTGGTGTTGGGTGTTGGTGTCTTTATTGTTGAAAAGCCTTTGCAATCTCTCTGAAGGTCTTTCAGGGTTTTTCTTTAAAAGCAAGCAGCATTGTTCGGTTTAATGGTTTTCCTTCTACCGAGGATTTTCTGCAGAGTGTTCTGGCAGGAAAGTGTTTTGAAAGGCTGTCTTGCAAGTATACTTTACGCTGCATACATTGCGGTATTAGAAAGATTCGGGGAGTGATAGTAGGTGAAGTAGCACCCTTCGTGACCCGAGTGTGCTGAGTCATGAGAGAAATCGATGGTTCTCACCATGTGAAAAGAGGCCTCTCATGCAAACAGATGTTAAGATAAGCACATGTGTCCTTCCCAGTCCTGGGGGAAGCATAAGGGCATCCTTGGGGAGTTGGTGGAGACCCGGTGGGGCCAACCACTGGTGCCTGTCATGGGGACCCCCAAATCAATGGAAGATATCGCAGAATGCAGCTAGAGGGGAGCCAGCAAAGGGCACATGGCTACATGCCCCGTGCTCAGTCAGAATCTGGTCCTGCTTCTTAGCCTGCCAGGGTCATTTTGGCACAGTCTGACCCCCTCCTTTGGTAATCCTCACAGAACTCTAGCCCAATGGTTGCCTTAATTTGATTTTGAATTGATTTTAAAATGAATTGATTTTAGAATGCTGTGTTACTTTTATTTTTGTTAGCCACTCTGAGCCCGGCTTTGGCTGGGGAGGGTGGGATATAAATATTATTATTATTATTATTATTATTATTATTATTATTATTATTATTATATTGAGAGCATCAAAAGCAAGTCCTTTCAAACTTAGGTGATCCACAGAATTGACTTCTTCTTCTTCTTCTTCTTCTTCTTCTTCTTCTTCGCTTCCTCTTTTCTGCTGGGTTATTGGGAAGGAAGAAGTTTTATGATTTCATGCATCTAATTTTAGTTCCCATTTTATAAACTGTGCTGCTTTGAAGTCTAAGTATATATCCAAAGATAGCAGGGCTAAGGCAGAATTTGGAGAAAGGGCTTGACCTGTAACTGCAGATTATAATGGAGAATACATGATTCTCCAGAAGTTGTTAACGTTCCCACCAAACATGAATAAATGAACCAATGAATCCAAGAACTGTTTTTTTAAAACAACAACAACATTTTTTATTGGTTTATAAATAAATACAATAACCATTAAGCACTTATCCAGCAGTACAGCCAATGGTCTTGGATTGAATTCTCTGCTAGTGAGTTTTGTAAGGAGCCGCTCTGGAATCTGCTCACTGCCACTTGTTGGTAAACGTTTTAAATGTGTGTTTTCATCTGGAGAGGAGAGGTCTTGCTCAGTTTGAAAACTGGTTGATGGCTGAGGTCAACTATGCCTCTGCAACTAGAAAAGTCCTAAGCCTAAAAGAGAAAAACAGAATAATAATATGAAGTGTTTAATAGGTATTATCAGCTGGGCATGGAACTAAGTTTTGGAACAGTTTCCTGTGAGTGCCCAGTGAGGGTGGTTCATAGATAGCACAGACAAGAGTCTCAGAAGCCTCTCATAGGTGACCTGGCTTGGTTATTGTCATAGGCTGAACCCAACCTCTAGCTGTGGTTCTGCTTCTTTCCCATTTTATGAACTGTCATGCTTTTATTAGCCTTACATAAGCTTCTCTTGGGAGCTTTTTTTGGGCTGAGGAGAAGGATGAAAAAAGCTTCACATAAACAAATCTTAGCATTATCTCAACATTTGACCCAAGACAGGCGAGTCATTGAGGGTAAAGTGAAACAGGATAATTTAGATGTTGCATGGATTCCACTTATATAAATAAATGTCATGGACCACCAGCATACCAAACAGCACTCCAGTAATGAGGATAATAACAATACAGTGGTACCTCGGGTTACAGACACTTCAGGTTACAGACACTTCAGGTTACAGACACTTCAGGTTACAGACGCTTCAGGTTACAGACTCTGCTAACCCAGAAATAGTACCTCAGGTGAAGAACTTTGCTTCAGGATGAGAACAGAAATCGCGCGGCCGCAGCGGGAGGCCGCATTAGCTAAAGTGGTACCTCAGGTTAAGAACAGTTTCAGGTTAAGAACGGACCTCCAGAACGAATTAACTTCTTAACCCGATGTACCACTGTAGAACTCTTTTTATGTTTATTGACAAGTTATTTCATTCAGCAGACATGTTGCTCTTTTCATACATTTTTTGTTTGTTTGTGGTTTTTTATGCACATTTGTTTTGTGGAATCTTCTAATGTACTTCTACAAAAAAGATTAACAAAATTCTCTTTAAAAAACAAAAGCCAATTTCAGCTATTGTTTCAGATGATCAAGTTGTTATGAGTTTTGCCAAATGCAATGCAAAGGATACATAAGATTTGCTTGTAATTTGTGATGACTTATGCAAAGGAGAGAGAAGGGGAGCAAGTGAAGCTATATGGATTTGGTCTTAATTCAGATTGGGGATGAGGACGGAAGAGCAGGTGTAAATCGAGATTAGCTACTGTTATGCTGCTGGGATAAAGGTAAGGCCAGTGGAAACGTTTCTGACAGATTATAGCTTACCGTGGTGCAAGAAACTTTTCAAATGCCACCGGCCCTGCTCTTCCACATTGGAATTTCCTTCCTTAAACGTTTCTGAGGATCTGGAAGTGAAAGTGCTGCTGAGAGAGGTTCTTTGAGAATAAACAGAGAACAAGCAGAGAGTGAGAAGACAGCCGATTTTCTTACAGATTTCCCGTTTTCTCTGAGCTGGATGAAATCATGAGGTGGGTGGGGTGACGTTGGCCTGTGTCTACTCACAAAGCAGGGTGTACCCATTTCTTTCTTTTTTTTAAATGATATTTATTGAAAAATTTTTAGAATTACAAAAGAAAACAAAGTAGAAAAAGAGAAAGAAAAAACAAAGAAAAAACAAACCACATCAAACAATACAAATCAACAAAAATCAAAATCAAAAAATAGCACAACACGATCAAAAGACAAAAATATACCACAAACATTCAAAAACAAATCCAATATTCTCAAATCCTTAACTGTCATTACCTTCTTTCTTTGACCTCCTCCTCCTCCCTTTTTTTGTATCCTAGTTGTTAATTGTCGCAGCAAATCCTTTCCATATTTCATAATATTCTGTCATTACATTACCTTAATCCATTTTAATCTTATCTTACTATAAAAAACCTTAAAGCTTATAAACATTTTTGCTAAAGCCAAATAATTTTGTTCCAACATTTTTCTAACATTCATCAATTTTATAAAACAATCCTAATAAAAAATAAAATAAAAAAACAATCCAATCTTCATCCAGCGTCTCTTCCTCCTGGTCCCGGGTTTTGTCAGTCCTTTTTATCCCATCAATCTAGCGCATTAACCTGGTAATCTTATATCCGAGGCCCTTAAGTCCCTTCCATGTCCCTTCCGCGGCTCTTCTTCATATTTATAGCTGTATTTTCCTTTGTCTCCTGCTCCTTTCACTCGTGGGAACTCCAGCTTAACAATGTTTTTGACCCTCCTCGACAAATCAGCCCCTTTTCCATAGTCCACACTAAACTCCATGTGGTATTTAAGAACATGTTTCAAAGTCCCTCCAAAATTAAGAGCCCCCACAACCCCAAACATCTCACGGCCCATTGCCAGACTTGAAAAGTCCAAACATCCCTGCATAGGGGGGTCTATCCAACCCCCCATTTCCAAACCAAACCAAACTTTATCTTTCCAAATCTGGCTTTTTCCAAGTTCATTTGTCAAATCCAAGAGCTCATGTTCCTGCTGGGCCACAGCTCCCTCCATCTCTGGCGCCCAAGATTGAGCAACATCCTCTTCCCTCATCTGTTCTGTCAGGACACACTCCTGATTTAATTCCTGGGTGGGCTCCATATAATTTCCTACTGCCTGTTCAAAATTTCTGATCGCATCAGTCATCGAGTCCGTCTTCTCATGTAGCTGTTCCAGTAGGGCACTTGTTTTACAGAGAGCGCACAGCAGAGCTTCTGAATACATTGTCCTGCAAGGTCAGAAGTCTATTCCCACGATCGTAATCTGTAGCAGCTGCAAGCTCCCCGATTCAGAATTGGTTACAGTTTTACAGGCTCCCTCTAGGGGAAAAACTTCTATTTGTTCTTTTCTTTTAAAGACAGATCTAACAACAAAGTTTCCTTTTTCAGATATTTTTTCAATATTTGTTCCTTTAAAATGCGAAGGGGAACAATGGAATCACTATGTTTCTCTGGTCAATGAGCTTCAAAAAACGTCAGTCCTGACACCCCGCTCCAGGATCAAGACGGTGGAAAGTTACTTTGCTTTACACTCCCTTCTGCAGGTTTAAACAGTCCGGAAAAATCCCCCCTCTTCTCCTGCTTCCGAAGGGGGTTCAACAATTTTAAATGATGAAAGTTAATCCTTTACAAGTGATTTTCTGAGCTCTAGTTTGCCATGTCTTTGCTTTAATCTATCTACAAAGAAAAGGAAGGCTGACTTCCTGTTTAGACCTTCCCGTTTCAGTGCCAAATTGAAATAAACTTTTAAGTCCAATTTTCCTTTCTACTCGCAAGTCCTTATTTAGAGTCCAATTGTCCGAAATTTAAGTACTCACGGGTGATTGTTTTAAAAGCCAAATTGTCCCCGGAGAAAGGAAGCGCTCTCTGGCAACGGCTGTGCGGCTTCGCTCCACGGAAGAAGCAGTTGACTCTCAGCACCGCGCCACTTCCCCCTCTTCGCTCCGGAGCCCGTTGGTGGGTTCCTTTGCGGGTTGGGGGGGTGCTAAAGGTGCCCGCCGAGTCCCATGGTCACAGGCTTCATCCGCCTGTGATTTTTAAAAGGGTCCCCACTTCGCCGTAGCGGAAAAGACCCGTTTCCCGTGGAGCTGGTCCCTCCAGATCAGAGGGAGTCCGCCATTACAGATGGCGCCACCCCGGAAGTCTTCTATCATTTGGAGAGCAGGTTGTTTAAATTATAGTTCCCAAAATGCATATGATTAACCTACACTGCAGTAGTGAGATGTCGAAGCTTCTTCATGCGGTTAACTGCAGCAGCAACCACGTTGGGGTTGTTATAATGGAGTGGTATACAGGGAATCACTTGTTGCACAGTTATATTTTGTGCATTGGCACCCAAACACAGCGATGAACAACCCAACAAAACAATACGGGTGTTATGTAATGCTCAATCTGCTGGTTGCTGGGACCTATCCTCTGCAACCAGGACAGCTCTGTAACATTGGCACTTAAGTTGGGAAGGTTAGCGTAGAGATGGTGCCTTGTTGCACAAGGGGGAAGCAGGGAAGGAGAAGGGCCCATAGCTTAGAGGTAGAGCATCTGCTTTGCATGCAGAAGGTCCCAGTTTCAATCCCTGGCATCTTCAGGTAGGACTGGGAGGTTCTGTCCGGAACCCTATCACTACACTGCCAATCACAGCCAGATAGACCCCAATGGTCTGATTGACTATAACGCGGCTTTCTGTGAGTTCCTATGAATGTGCCATGTCACTTAGCTGTCCATTGTACCCATTTTTGCTATTTTATTATAGTTGTTAGCCACATTGGGTGCTGCTTTCAACTGTTCTTTCCACAGTTTGTTTTTAATGTTAAGTTAATTTGGTTCTGTCGGTCTATAACTGGAGGTAAGGCTCAAAGCAGGGGTGGGGAAGCCACAGATGGCAAGCCTGCCCATTTGGCTTGTGAAGCCATTTTCATAACCTCCACCATTCCTCTGATGAAAATCAGGGCATGTGTGTTTTGGAGCCACACTCTTGTTGGAGCCAGCTGACACACATGAAAGCACAGCACCACTCTAAGTGCCAGCTGCAAGTGTTGGCTTATCTTCTTCCCCGAGCACAGTGTTAGTGGAGGGGGAAAATGGGACATTCTGGTATCAAATCAGAAGCCAGGACGGCTTCTGCAATTCCAGGATTGTCCTGGGAAAATCGGGACACTTGAAGGCTATGCATTTTGTCCAAGCTGCACCCACCTACCCCACACCTGATGCCAGGTAAAGCTGGGGCTTGGATGAAAGGGTCTTTGCAGAAACCACTGACCAGCTTTTTAGTAGTGCCTGTAAAGCCCCTTGCACACAGATTCTGAAGCACTGACAGTCAGCTGATAATTGGTGCTTGGGAAGCATTGTGCAAAGGGGCTTTGCAAGTGCTTTGCTGATTTCAACCTGCACAGGCAAAAATAGGTCACTTGGCATCACTTGGGTTGTCCCCATCTGTCTATCAAATTCAGCCCATGGATGTGAGTGGAGATAAGGATTCCTCAGCCTTGGCTCAAAGAACCTTCCCTCACACAGGTCTAAGAAATGCGTTAAAAAGAAAGCAAAGCGAAGCTGAAGACTTAATTATTTCTCTCTTTCCCTACAGTAGAGGTGCTGAGAACAGACATGCCCTCCGACAGCAGACTATTCTCCGAGAGAAAGGCAGGAGGCTTGCCAATCGTGGACCGGCATATATGTTTAATGACCACTCAACCAGCCTTTCTCTTGAAGAGGAGCGTTTTTTGGAAGCGGCAGAATATGGCAACATTCCTGTGGTCCGCAAGATGCTGGAGGAATGTACCTCGCTCAATGTGAACTGCGTGGACTACATGGGGCAGAATGCTCTGCAGCTCGCCGTTGCGAACGAACACCTGGAAATCACTGAGCTCTTGCTTAATAAGGAGAACCTGTCACGGGTTGGGGACGCCCTGCTCCTGGCCATTAGCAAAGGTTATGTCCGGATAGTAGAAGCCATCTTGGGTCACCCTGCGTTCGCCGAAGGCAAGAGGCTGGCCACAAGCCCCAGCCAATCGGAGGTGCAGCACGATGACTTTTATGCCTACGACGAGGATGGCACCCGCTTCTCTCACGACGTGACCCCCATCATCCTAGCTGCTCACTGCCACGAGTACGAAATCGTGCACACCTTGCTGAGGAAAGGCGCTCGCATCGAGAGGCCTCACGACTACTTCTGCAAATGCAGCGAATGCAACGAGAAGCAAAAGCACGATTCCTTCAGCCATTCCAGGTCCAGGATCAATGCCTACAAAGGTTTGGCCAGCCCTGCTTACCTTTCCTTGTCTAGCGAGGACCCCGTAATGATTGCCTTAGAACTAAGCAATGAGCTGGCTGTGCTTGCTAACATTGAAAAAGAATTCAAGGTAAGTTGTTTTGGGTTTTTTTTCTCCTGGGGTTAGGGGTTAGTTTTATAACAGGAGGCCACTGCTGGATCAAGCCAAAGAGCCATCTACTTTAGCCTCCTGTTTCCATTGGTTAATGTAAAAACATAAGAAGATCCTGATGGTTCTGGGCAATGCCCCATCTGGTCAACCACCGTGGGGAACCTGCAAGTAGGACCCAAACACAAGAACACTCTTCCCTTCTGCCAGGATATTTTTTTTTTTGAGGGGGTATGTGGCTGCTGCCGTCTCTGCCGCCACTCCCACCCCGCCAGAGGCATTCTGGTGCCACCCGCCAAAGCTGGTCTACTACAAAGTGCTTATTTTTTCCTCCTTTCAATGACACATGGGCCACTCTAGCCATGTGACTTTGTGGTAGAGAAGGACTTTCCGCTATAGCCGTATCCTCCAAATGTCTCTAGGAAGTCCACAAATATGGATGGAAGTTTTGTCTCCCCAGTGTCTGGAATTCTGAGATATACTGTCCCCCAGAGCATGTGTGTGTGGGGGGGTCAATTTAGTTATGAAAATGTGGAGCTGTCATTGGCCACAGGCTAAGAAGCCAAGCACAGCTAAGGATGTTATTGATTACTCAGCCTACAGTGGAAAAAATATATATTGTCATGCCAGTTTAAGGGGAATCTAATGAACCACCTTTAGATCACTTTCACATTGCCAAAGATGAGGACAAAAGAGGGTGCCAGTTTGCACAAAACATGTGCATGCTAATTTGCATGTGCAGGTGCAAATTTATAAATAATTACTTTAATTTTAACCATGCATCTCACCATAGTGGGGGAGACTGCAGCCTGGTGACCTATGTGACTGCTTGGTTTGCCGCTGTGCAGGTGATCACTGCTGATTGGGAAAATGCAAGCCCCACCTCCCTCTCCTCCTCCTAAAATGGACTTGGAGCAGACAGGACTTGTGCCAGTCACCTTTGAATAAAGCTAGATGGGTCACTAGTTAATGTTATGCTTGTTGCTTATTTTAAAAAATGGCCGATTTCTGTGGCTTCTTTTCCTTCACAGAATGATTACAAAAAATTGTCTATGCAGTGCAAAGACTTTGTGGTTGGACTTCTTGATTTATGCAGAAACACAGAAGAAGTAGAAGCTATTCTAAACGGAGATGTTGAGCTGCACCATGGGGAACACGGACGCCCTAGCCTTAGCCGCCTAAAACTTGCCATAAAGTATGAAGTCAAAAAGGTAAGCTCTGGTTTAAGCAGCTGATTGGGTCAGAAATGTTTCCATTAATTTCCTTCCCATTTATCTTCCTATCCAAGTACCAAGTATCCAAATAACACACAGAGTTCCATGAACATTTGTCCTTGTCCCAGTGAATCAGCATGTGAAGATAAACTTTCCTGAACTTTCTGGATAATTTGGACATTCAATTTAGCATTTATATATCCTGCAGTACATAAGCGGAAACCTACAGGACATACAGCCCACATGCAGTACATGTTTCAGGGCTATAGCTAAGTGGTAGAGCACATGTTTTACACCCAGCAAATCCCAGGTTCAATCCCTGATATCTCCAGGTAGGACTGGGAAAGATCCCTTTCTGAAACTTTGGAGAGCCACTTCCAGTCCGACGGAGCAGTGTTGTGACTTGGTGCAAGGCGGCTTAAAGGCAAATATCAATAATTGGAACTAGTCCTAGATTCTAACAGACTGCCACTGAAGTCCTTTCAAAATTGGCATGTTCTGCATAAACCTGGGCCACACCAATCAAAATTATAATATAGCCCAATTGCATTACAGTCCCTTCCCCCCCAAAAAAACCCAATTTCAATGAAATGGAAGCCTTTGAAGGTGTGGAGAGGTCCATGTGAGTATCAACTACATGGGTATCAACTACTTTGGAGAAAGTTGCTCTATAGCTTCCATGAGGTGCCTGCTGTGCAGATTTTATTTAAATGTAGCTAAAGTGCCCTTCACATTTTCAGAGGCACAAGGCCTCTCCTACAAAATGCTGTGATCCAATAAAAGGGGATGGATGCTACCACCGTGCCTAGATTGAAAAAATTCCCAGAGGCATCTTTCAAGCCATGTCTGAACACAATTTACACCATCTGCTTGACCCAACCTGGCAGTTTTTATTTGCAGTAAGAATCTTCTAGGGAAACCTGGAGGGGGAAAAAAATTTAAAGGATGAAATTGCAGAAAACGTAAAACCCAGTGTGTTGTCTTGACAAGGAAACTTACTGCCTTATATAGGCATGTGTTGCACACAGAAGCTTCTTTCATCCACACTGCTGCTCTTCCCTTTGTGATAATCACATGAAGATTACCTGCATTGTTTCTGTTTTAATACCTTCGCTAGCGGCTAATTATGAAATGAGTGGTGGTAATGTTCTCTTGTATTCCTTTCCTTTGTCGTTTAGTTTGTAGCACATCCAAACTGCCAGCAGCAGCTCCTCTCTATCTGGTATGAGAATCTGTCAGGTTTACGACAACAGACGATGGCGGTGAAGTTTTTAGTGGTTCTTGCTGTTGCTGTTGGGCTGCCATTCCTGTCGATGGCTTATTGGATTGCTCCATGCAGTAAGGTACTAGTTGGTGCAAGGTTGCATCAGCCTTTTAAAACAGTTTCTGTACTTCGTTTGCATGCAGATTTGAAAGTGGGCTAAAGTGAAGCATGCACAATAAATAAGAGAGGCACTTAGCAATGCTTTAGTAGCAAGTTATTTATTGTAATGGTGTGAAGGCAGGATCACACACCTTGTTCTCAATAAAAAGCAGCGAAAGCATTATGTTCAACTTAATTTGCTTTTCATTTGTGAAGGTGGCAGGAATGGGGGAGAAAACAGTGGCTGAAAGGCATCATTTATGTCTTTTGTGTTTGTGCCTGTGCTGTTTGTTAGCAACACACATACATATAATCTCTCTTTCTCTCTCTCTGTGTGTGTATTTTATCATTTGAAGCCTTAAGCCTTTTAAATTAGTGTACTGGTACTGAAAACGGGACAGCTTGAAGCTAACGAAAAATCTGATTGCATAATGAAATACCAACATCCAATATCAACATTACATTATGAAATATCAACAGCAATGACAGCATCAACACAAAACAAGACACCATGGTGGTGCTGCAGTCCAGTTACACAAGCAGAGTAGCTAAATGTTTACATTGCTATGCAAATGCCTTTAAATTGAAGACCCAGGGGAGTAGGCCCAGGGCAGTAAGAAGATAAAGAGATTTGTGACATGCTTTTCTTTTCTTTTTCTTTTTTTTAAATGATATTTATTAAAGTTTCAACATGAAAAGAGACAATAAAAAAAAAGAATTTAAAAAGAAAAAGAAAAATACACAATACAAAATACAGAAAGAAAAAAAAAGAAAAAACAGTTAAAAACAATTCCATCTTTTCATCAGCTACTTTTGGATTTACTTATTTTCTGGACCTCCTCATACCTCCCTCTTTTGTATTCCAATTCAGTTTGTTTGTCCAGCAATTCCTTTCCCTCCTTTTTAATCCCAATCCTTAATCTTAATATAATATAACATTAAATTTTTACCTATTAATAGCCAATTTTCCATTCTTATTAACCTGTTTTAATCCTAAGTCCTTAATCTTAATCTGTATATAACTTTAAAGCCTGTACAGCTAGAGAACCCCTTAATTTCAATCCATCATCACTCTAACATTCTTTAATTTTACAATATTTCTGTAGGTAGTCTTTAAATATCATCCAAACTACTAACAACGACACTTCACACAGGGCACGGATTCTGCCAGTCATTTCCACCAATTCCATATAGTCCATCAATTTCATCTGCCATTCCTCCAGTGTGGGTAGCTCTTGTGTCTTCCAATACTTTGCGATGAGTATTCTTGCTGCTGTTGTTGCATACTGTAACATGCTTTTCAATGGCCCAGTACACATGTAACACTAAGCCAAACTATGGCTGAGCACAAATGAGCAAGTGCCCACAGACTGGAAAACATGGCTACTTTGCTGCTGGCTGGAGCTAAGTCATGGGTTGGATTAGTGTTATCTCCAAACCCAGGCTCCCTAACACAAACCATGAGTGCCAAACCAAACCTTGTGGTTTGTCTAGAATAAAACAAGCCACTAGCCTGGGTTCAGAACCAATTCTGAACCAAATCATGGCTTAGCGCTGTGCAGCATGGCAGCAGCAGTGCTGGGTGGAGCTAAACGGCTGTGATTTTTACTCCATTCACTTGCCTGTTTATGTCACGGCTTGGCTTAGCATTGCATGTGGACCAGGCCATTGTGGCATAAATGTTCCCAGGCAACTGAAACTCTGGAGAGCCACTGCCAGCCATACTGGATTATTTTTTTACTGCTGCTTATTACGTCCCACATCTGTCTTCTGCCCGCTCTGACCCACTTTCCTGGCACCTTCAAGTGACGCTGTTTCCCAGCCTCATCCTCACTTGTGAATGCAGGCAGGTAATCAATTTGAAAGGACACTGCCAAGGTATTTTATTTATCATTTACAAAGTGTGTTTTAATCATTGCTGTCTTTAACCATCCCCTTGGAAGCTTTAAAAAGGAGCTTGTCAGTATAAACAACAAGCTTTATTAGGGGGAGGGAATAGTCATTTAGCCTCTGAGGGGACTGACAGACTGTTTTGCAAAAGAAAAACAAAACTATTTTTAGGCTGCCGCCCTAAACGAACTTACTGGAGCATTAGTCTCAATGAATTAGACTTGCTTCTGAGTTAAAGTGCGTGTTGCTACTTATTTATTTGGTTGGAGGATGAGGGTGGAATGAAGATTTCCTAAAGAATTTAGCAGACTAGTGTGCCTAGCATTTGGCTTTACCAACCTTTATTAATATTAGATTCAGCCATACTTAACGTTTTGTAAACAGTTTATTTATCTTTGGCCATTTTCCACTGGCCTTTCACTCCCTCCTAAGCTTAAACATGCTTAAGAAAAGAAAGAAAGTAGCTCGAGACTCTTCCTAATGGTGCCTATTAAATAGTTGCTGGAAAAATAAAAAATTGGGAGTATTTGTGGTTGACTCTGTTTTGAAAAATGAAAACCATTTAACCTCCCTTTACATATACAGGGGTACCTCAGGTTAAGTACTTAATTCGTTCCGGAGGTCCGTTCTTAACCTGAAACTGTTCTTAACCTGAAGCACCACTTTAGCTAATGGGGCCTCCTGCTGCCGCCGTGCCGCCGGAGCCCAATTTCTGTTCTTATCCTGAAGCAAAGTTCTTAACCTGAAGCACTATTTCTGGGTTAGTGTAGTGTGTAACCTGAAGTGTATGTAACCTGAAGCGTATGTAACCTGAGGTACCACTGTAAACCACAGTTATTGCAAATACAGTTTCCCTCATTCAGTGAGCTACTATGTTTGCTTCCTTCTCTTCCCAAACCTTTCCCCATGAGCTGTGAGCAGCCAACTCACCACATCCTGTAAAGTTTCTCCACACACATCCTGCCTGACGCTTTTGACGTCTTGTGTTCCAACATGTCATGCACCCCTTTCCCCATGTAAACTGACCAGAGCCTGCATGCCTCTCAAATTAATCTGGCTTTGGTGTGATGACTATGATAGTATTTTAAAACCTATGGGAAATTCCAATGCCTACTATTTCTAACAGTCTCTAATTTCAATCTAATGGTTATATTTATTCGCTTTCTAAAAGATAATTTGCTACCCTCCTATAGAACTGAGCAAACAGGGTGGTTCAAGTTTTCCATAGGCTTTACACAGAATCCTGGATCTTCCCCATCTTTCCCACATTTTTTGGTGGCTAGGGAAACAATTTCTAAACCTGCAATCCTATGGACACTTACTTGGGATTTGCTTCCGTTGAATAGGTTTGGCAAGAGGAGGGAGACAGTCACAGATGCACTCAGAATACTGAGTTGACCCTCTAATCCTTGGGTGAGAAGTCTTCTTCAGGCTGAAGGCCGCATTACCCAGTAGAAAGCTGGCAGGAGCCATATTTGAATAGTGGGCAGGGCCACATTCAACCGCACACCTGACCGACACACCCTTAACATACAGGGACATACACCATCATACAGTCAAGTATACATACAAAACTGTTTCCCATAGAAAGAGGCATAGATTTAATTCCTAGTAATTCCACTTAAATTTCATCATGCATTTTCCCTGTAGACTTCGCAAAAAAAGTTTGTAAGCTAATAGCCATTGATATAGCCTTATTGTCCCCATGAATTTGTCTAATCCCATTCTTTTTTTCTTTTTACATTTTCCAAATTTATTATACACATCTTACAGGTTTTTTTTGCTATTTGCAGCTTTTGTTTTTTTAAAAATAATTTTATTTTGACAAAGTAATAATAAAAAATAAATAATTTGAATAAAAATGTGCACCCCACCCAAGTGACTATTCCATTGTAACTATCCAACCTCCCAGAATTTCAAAACCTCTTGCGATGGTTTGACCCCTTTCCGTTTTAACAGTACAAATTCTACAAACACCTTCCATATCTCCTCAAAATAATTTCTCCTGCATACCCCATCTTACCTTAATAGCACATGTTAATTTATCATCTAATCCCATTCTAAAGCTGTCCAAGTTTCTGGTCATTGCTGTATCTTATAGAAGTGAATGTCACAGTTTAAATATGAACTGTGCTTAAGAAATATTGCTTTTTGTCTGTCCTGAAGCTTCTAGCATTCAGCTTTATGAATGACCCTGGGTTCTAGTATCATGAAAAAGGGAGAAAAACATCTCTCTATCTGCTTCCATGCACAATTTTTATACATCTCTATCTTGTTCCCTTTTACTTGCTTTCTCCCCCAAACTAAAAAGCCCCTAGCCCCAAACGTTTTAACCTGTACTCACAGAGATGTTGTTGTAGCCCATTGAATAATTTTGCTGTCCTATTATGAACTTTCCCAGCTCTACCATATCCTTTCTAAGGTGAGGCAACCAAATCTCCGGAATTCCAAGTGTGGCCTCGCCATAGATTCATAAAACAGCTTTATGTTTTGGTAGTTTTGTTTACAATCCCTTTCGTTAGAAACCTAGTGTGGAGTTTGATCTTTCCACTGCTGACGCACACCGGCTTGACATTTTCGCTCGACTCTCCATCCCGACCCTAAGTCTCTGTCACTTCAGACTCCATTAGCATACATTTGGAGTTAGGACCTTTTTGCTGTTCTGTGAATCACTTCACACACATTGATCTGCATTTGTCATTTTTAAGCCATGCCCTGACACCCTTCTTACCCAAGAAGCTGTCTGCCTTCAGTTCCCCAGAGCCTGGTGGGGAGCTGTAATCCCAGAAAAGGTTCAGAAAAGACTGGGATGTATAGATCTTCTCAGGCAGCTTTTCCCCCTTCCTGAACATCTGCCACATCCCAATGGGCGTCAGGTCCTTCTCTGGCTCCTCCTGAGTACAGCCCAGGAAGTGAAGGCCTCTGATTGCCAGCCAAGTACATCTGTGCCAGCTCTGGACTTCTTGCCAGGCCAGCAATGACATCTCTGTTCCTGGGAGGGCTGCAGGCGAAGGAAGGTAGTCAGGGGTCCAGGTGGGGGTCTGGTGTGTGTGGCATCATCAGGGGCAGACAGCGTTTTTGGGGGGCTGGGTGTTTTTGGTGCTGAAGGTCTATGCAGGGTTCCACTCCACTTCTTTGGCTGAGGTCCTCCTGGAGTTATTGTTGGTCTAGACCAGTGTTTCTCAACCTTGGGTCCCCAGATGTTGTTGGACTACAACTCCCATCATCCCTGAGCTCTGGCCTTGCTAGCTAGGGATGATGGGAGTTGTAGTTCAACAACATCTGGGGACCCAAGGTTGAGAAAGGCTGGTCTGGACTCTTTCTGAGGCAGAGGGTAAGGGAAGCAGTTTTCCCATGATGCAAACCTGTCACACACAAGTGCCACAGCCTGGCACTCTCCTGGGTTGTTGTGTGTATATAAAAAATAAATTTTGATGATATGCAGAGTAACAGAGTAGCTTGCAGCTAGGAAGCTAAATAACTCTTCTAGGTGATGGATAGCTTCTTTATAAAGACAATGTCCAGTTCAAAAGAACTTTACTTTCATAAACATATAACTGAGAATATATTTACAATCACATGCTTAGTCAAACATGGGTATGTTCTCACTTGAATTGTAGATGGAAGTCTTTGACGTTTCTTATGAAAGGTTTTTACTTTCACCTTAACAGTATTCTCTTTGTTGCTTACAGAGAGCTCCTGCACGGGTTTCTCCCTATTAATGTTTAGGGATCTTCCTCTGTTTGTTTCACTTCAGATATATCTCAGAGACACACACTATCCACAGCAGATTCCTGAGAAGTTTATCTCAGCAGCCATTCTCCCTCACACACAGAGAGAAAACAGAGAGAGCAGTTAAAAACAACAGTTACTTGAATAACAGTCACAACAGAATAGAATGCCTCTCTCATGTGACTCACAGTCAGCCAATCACTTGAGAGCTACTGCCAAAGGAAATTTCCCCCATGTTAAAAAAGTACACAGTAATTTAACATAAGTAAACATTCCCTTTTCAGGAATTTAAACCATTATCCTGTAAGTGGACCACTGCCTGACCATGCTGTGGTCATTGAAACATAGGAAACTGCTATTATACCAAGTCAAAACTCTGGCTCATCTAAACCAGTATTGTCCATTGGTTGGCAGCAGGTCTCCATGCTTACAGACAGAAGTCTTTGCCAGCCATCCCTGAAGATGCCAGAGATTGCACTTAGGGACTCTCGCACGGGACTCATGTGCTTTACCTCTCAGTTATGCCCCTTCCCCAGCTGTGTTTCTTCAATCTGTGGTTCCCACCTCGAAGGTGGCAGCAACCATTGTGCCACAGCATCTGGCATTTCTACTCCTCTGTCCCCTGCACTGCTGTAATCCTGAAATCCCTGGGCAATTTGAGCAACATACAGGGTATATGGAAGTACAGAAAACTGCAAAAGGCTAATTAGAAATAGCATTAAGGGGTAATTATTTTATGCAAAGCATTCTTTCTTGTTTCTTCACTGTGTCTGGCTGTTGTTTCTTTTCGATAGCAGCCTTCTCAAGATAAATTTATTTTGGTGGGGGAGTGATGCAATCTTTAAAATCTCTCTCTTTTTAAATTTTTGCAGTTGGGTAAAATAATGCGCGGACCCTTTATGAAATTTGTGGCACATGCAGCCTCTTTCACCATTTTCCTTGGTTTGCTGGTCATGAATGCGGCAGACAGGTTTGATGGCACCAAACTGAAGCCCAATGAAAGCAGAACGGATGGAAAACAGCTGTTCAGGATGAAAACTTCATGTTTCTCGTGGATGGAGTTGCTGATTATCTCATGGGTAATAGGTAAAAAACATATCACAAATCTGTGTCTTGCAACCCTAGCAGAGGACTGTGTGTCTGTTAAGACTCTTTTCTCTTATAGTGGTGAAGTACGAGACACAAAGTGAAGGGTCTTGTTGAATTCCACATTCATTCATGTGTATCGCTTGCATAGGTTGCGGGTGGAAAATGCCACAGCGTTCTTCCTTTCTTTCCTTTCTTTGGTGCTTTTCATGAAACACATGCATTTATGTGTTAGCACACCAAACAAGGAACATTTGAGGTGCATTTTCAGAATGCTCTGATTATATCAGATGATCTACTTATTCATACAAGCAAACACATTCTGAATCAGATCTGTTAAGTCTCTGCCAGTTAACCTGGTTCCAAAACCCAGCTCCTACTTTCTTGGTTATAAGAGAAGACAGTTCACCCCAGAAAACACAGTTGATTGTCACATCTTAAAGCACCCAGCACCGTACAGATGACATGCTGTTATTAATTCATTTAAAATTTACATTTCAGAAGCCTAGAAAAAGGGGTGCAAGTTTCAATGTGTACACATGTTACTCTTGTTATAGCTAAAAGAAAGAAAGAAAACGAATACACCTTCTGTTTCCTTCTTCTAAGCCTTATGCAGAAAAAAAAAGAGGTGGCATGTTACTTTGAAAGTGCCGAAAATTCAGGGAAGTGCTCTACAGAAGTGACAGCATGTTACATCAAATGAAACCAATCATTTCTGGCTGCATTATCTAAAATAAGAATTAAATCTTTTAAAGCCAATTTTTAAAAAGAAAGTCGATAGTTAACAGGCAAGACAGAAACTTGATGCTAATGAGTGTATTCAGATATTGTCAGTGAGCACTGGAGATTACTAACATGCAACATCAGAGAAATCCAAATTGGTAGGAGATAGCATTTCTGGTTGATTAGGTGCTATGCATTAGAAGCTACTATAAAATGTAATAAAAAGTTAATGAACCGAGAACTGTGAGAGACATGAAGGAGCAAGTAGATATCTGAAAGCTGTATAAATTGTGAAGGAGAAACGCACACAATCACAAACATAGGATAATAATTATAACACACATTCATTCGTTTGAAACGCCATGTAAAACTCATAGCGAGCTGAAGATCTGTGCAGCACCTTTACACTTCCAGCTGCAGGAGAAGGCGGATGCAGCTCGTCCAAAATCTTTTCCAACTTTGGTTAAGATATCTTCCTCTTTTGCTGTCTGCTAACAGCAGGGGGTGCTTTTAGGGTGCAGTTGCTCAAGGTGGCCCAGTCTTGAGTTAAAAATTCAAAAGGGATCCCAGCTGCATGAAACATGCACTATTCTTTTTTTTTTTAAGTAATATTTATTAAAGTTTCAAAAGAAGAAAAATCACATTAATAAAAAAATTAACAATAAAAAGGAAAAATACAAAGTAGAAAAAAGAAAAAAAACAATTAAAAACAATTCCATCTTTTCTTCACTTCTTTTACGTTTACTTGTTTCCCGGACCTCCTCATACCTCCCTCTTTTGTATTCCAATTCAATTTGTTAATCCAACAATTCCTTTCCCTCCTTTTTAGTCCTAATCTTTAATCTTGATATATTATAACATTAAGAAACATGCACTATTCTTAAGTAGTGTAGGGTGGTAGAAGAATGAGAAGCTTATTGTTCAGAGGCTGGCCTCTATGCTCAATTCTCTCTCTCTCTCTCTCTCTCTCTCTCTCTCTCTCCCCCTCTCCCTCCCTCCCTCCCTCCCTCTCCACACACTAGCTCTCAGCTCATATCAGCTTCAGCTTCTGCTTCTGCAGCAAAGCTCTGCTCCCAAGTCACAGCAGTCAGAAATGGCGTGGTCAGTTGCTAGGCTCTAAACATCGCTTCTTTACGAATTCACTACACTAGAAACCTTATCTGAATGATCATCCCTGGGGAGGCACAGCTCACCTTGGCAAATCTAGCAGGGAGGGAGGTTGTGACATGCTCTGCCATGCCAGGATTGCTAGCAAACTGGCCTCTCTCACCAGTGTTTGCTATAGAAGGGGTGCTGATAAAAGCTGTTGGTGTATGAAAACCCATAGCCGCCACATACATCTCCTGCTGCGCTGGTAAATTCAAAGCTAGAGTGCCGATATCCACCTTGCAATTTGACAACTCTCCACAAAGCCAATGGCCACCCCACCATTTTTACATAATGAGTAGGGAATTTGAATAGAATTTGTTGGTATCCGTCTTGAGAGACAATGGAACAAACCTCCGGGGGGTGAAGTCAAAGAGCTGTAGGATCACAGCGCCTGCTGTGGCTGCAGCAACCGGGAACTCATAACTGCCACCTCCCGCATTGTTTTTACCGCATTAGCAGCACTGAACTGACCTCCCTGCGCAGAAGCCTAGGCAAGTGTGTATGGAAGTCCTGGGCTGCCCAGATGACAACACCCCACTCTTCAGCCTTGCTAATGTGGTCCAAAGGAAAGCAGAGCAATATGTTTGGTACCAGCTTAGCTGCAGGAGTTGCCTGAAGCAGGCATACAAGGCACCATCCAACCATCTTAGGGACTCCACTCCAGATTTGCGTAGGGTTTACTCCTTAGGCTTTTCTTCTCTCGGTGATGTCCCACAAAGCAATGGGTGGAATATTTCTTGTATAAATAAAATAAGAACTTGGCTTTCATTTTTCAAAGCAGGTATCTCTACTTCTCAAGACACGGAACTCAGATATATTTGACGTTTTTCTATGACATTTTGTGGAAAGCTAATGCTGTGTGTGCTCTCTTCTTTCCTCCTCTAGGTATGATATGGTCCGAGTGTAAAGAGATTTGGTCCCAAGGTCCCAAGGAATACCTGTTTGAGTTGTGGAATATGCTGGATTTTGGGATGCTAGCTATTTTTGCAGCTTCATTCATTGCGAGGTTCATGGCATTTTGGCATGCTTCCAGAGCCCAGAGCATGGTCGATGCAGATGTGAAGGACTTGAAAACGGTGACATTGCCTCCCAGCATAAAATACTACACTTTGGGTGAGTTTATGAACCGTTGAGATTTGTGTTGGCTGAGCAAAGGAGAACTGTTCCAGTTTGGGTTCTACCCTCCCGATCAGGAGAAAACTGGCTTGCTCCATCTTCCATGTGACAGGCCTTGAGATATTTGAAGATGGCTGCCATATCTCCTCTCATGTCTCCTCTTATCCAGGCAACCCCCTCAACCGTTCCTCATAAGGCTTGGGTTCAGACCCTTGACCGTCTTGGTCACCCTCTTCTGCACACATTCCAACTCATCAATATCCTTCTGAAATCGTGGCACCCAGAACTGGACACAGAACTCTAGGTGTTATCTGATCAGGGCAGAATAGAGTGGTACTATTACTTCCCTTTATTACTTCCCTATACTTCTGTTGTTGCAGCCAAGAATAGCATTACCTCTTTTTGCTACTGCATCACACCGTTGACTCATGTTAAGTTTGTGGTCTACTAAGACCCCATGATCCTTTTCACATGTAAGGCCATTGTGGGATAAAATGTTTTCATCTAGAGCTTATAAGGAACTCATTACTACTGAGCTGCATATCCTCTTCTTTTCACAACCCATGCAAGTGGTGGAGATTTTCAGTGACTTTCAGTGAGCTTACAATTCCTGCCTGGCAAGGCAGCAGCAGGTTTCATATTCATTTTCTTTCCTAAAATATCCTATAAAAATAATTTTCTTCTGCTTGAAGAAAATACCCCAATGGGAATGACGCTATCCTTTGGATGGCTTTATGGACTGATGTAGTTGTAATGTTATATAGATATACATAAACACATCAGTTTTTTATGTTTACAACATCAACATCCTTATTTTTATTAAAAAAATATTTTTAAAATTATTTAGCTTATTTTTTATCCTTAAACCATTTGATTTCCTTATATTGCAAACCCCTTTGGGAACATAACTATTAATATGTAGAAAGAGTGCTGTAAGTTGCTCTGGGCTTATAGAGCAGGTTGTAATTCAAACGAAGAAATGGGAATCTTCATTTTTAGCTGCAGTTTATACACTCCCCCCTTACTCTATAACTAGTTTCTTCACGTAAAATCGAGAGGTTATGAGCAATCAGGAATTGTTACAGTGAGATAAAGTGATGTGTGCTGGACAGAAAAGCAGTAGCCAGCGCAGTCCTCTGCATGTCTACTCAGAAGTAAGCCTCACAGAGTTCAGCAGGACTTTCTCTCAGATAAGCGTGTATAGGATTGCAGGCTGCACCACCAGTTTCTAGGGAGCAATGGCAATTTATAACAGTGGAGGATCTGCTCTTCACTTCCTAAACAACATAATTCTGAACCCACTGCAGTTGCAATGGTTGAGTTTGAGAGCTGTTAGGTTTTTAGTTTCATTGGAGGTTTCTAAGCAGAGGTTGGATGGCCACCTGTCATGGATTCTTCAGTTGAGATTCCTGCACTGCAGGGGGTTGGACTAGATGACCCTCGGGGTCCCTCCCTATTCTACAGTTCTATGATTCTGTCTTTCACAATGCAGTTTGTATGTTGTTGTTGTTTTGTAATAGAGGTGACTCTCAACCTACACAGGGGTTACATTCTAGGGGTAGCACATAAGCCAAATTTGCATATAGTCAAAACGCATTGGGTTCAATTATGAGTGGGATCCCCAAAGTCTTGTTTCCTAGATGACCACCCCCTTTCCACTCCCTTTTTATTTATTTATTCTTATTTTGCCAAATTACCTGTATTTCAAAATGAAGAAAGAATGATTAATAAAAAGATAACTGTGAACAGAATTGTTCATTTGTTTATTTCATCTCTCTCCTTTTTTTTATATTAATCTTAATATAAAGCCAGGTCATATGTAAAGCATAGTCATAAAATTAAATGAAACACCACTTTTTAAAAAATAATGAGAACAACGAGACACTGAAATGTCAAAAACCAGAGGTATGCAAAACCATTAGTAGGAGTGGGCTGGGCAATGGTGTATCAATACATTGCCCAGGACCGGTTTGAAGGTTAGAGCGTGATGGCACCTTCTCCCGAGTCTTGTTTTTCCCTCGGTGCGCCAGGCACTGACAGCAGAGGGACTCCCTCCAGCACCCAGCGCATGGAGGAACAAGCTGGCGTTCACCCTGGCCAGGGTGAATCCACTGCCACTCCCACTGAGGGAGCTGAGGCGATTTCACCCCGGTGCCTCACGGGACCAGGCCCGATGCAGCTTGTTCCTCCCTCCACTTTTCAACATTGCGATGTATCACTATATTGCGATGTTTGACTGGTGATACATTGCAATGTTGAAAAGCTGATATTTCCCAGCCCTAAATAGGGGCTGCAGTTCATACATGAATAGCCACAGAAACGGCATGTGGGTAATGTCACAAATTTGCCTGAAAAGAAGCAGCCATTTTGTTGTTGTCTCTGTGTGTTGACATCCCTCTGAAAGGTGCTTCTCTCTCTTGTTCACAAGCGCTTTACTTCTGATAGCAAGGGGATGCACAGCAAGATCTCCGGACATTGGCTTAACGTTTGGGCAGCTAAATATGGAACATATATCAAAACATTAAACAGATGTTCTTGTGGGTTTTCTTTTGTTTTTTTTACAGCAAGAATAGACTGGGATCCATCCGACCCTCAAATCATATCTGAAGGCCTGTATGCAATCGCTGTGGTCTTAAGCTTCTCAAGAATCGCCTATATTCTGCCAGCCAATGAAAGCTTCGGACCTCTACAGATATCGCTTGGCAGAACTGTGAAAGACATATTCAAGTTCATGGTCATATTTATCATGGTTTTTGTGGCCTTCATGATAGGAATGTTTAATCTCTACTCTTACTACCTGGGGGCAAAACAAAATGAAGCCTTCACTACGTAAGTAAATGTTGAAATCTGGTTTTGCTGTAGTAAGTGTAGATGATTTTGTTGGAAGGCCATCAGTCGGATTTAAGCGCATTCGCTGTTGTAATGTTAAGTATCCAAACTATGGCCATGGTTAGCTATGGTCTGCAATTCTTAAATATTGATTTACCAACCATCTTTCCTAAGCTAGCAGTAGTGATGCATCTAAATGCCAAGCACATTTACTATAAAGTAATTCTAAAGGCACTTCCATGTTAATGGATTCATGGTGATTGGTGCATTCAATGAAAGTGCTGGCTATCCCTTTGGGGCAATCCTTTGATTTCTACTAGTCCAGACGGACTACCAGGATCAGTTCAGATGTCACTCCCAAAAGCAGCGGCTATGGTAGCTCTGAACAGCCGCAACAACCAGCAAATAGAAGCACCTGCTTTGAATTATAGATTAGGTCCTCTTTTATATTATTTAGTTTGCATAAATACATAATGCACTCCTCCTATGCGAGATGTATTAGGACAAGGTCTGTTTGTGCATAACAAGAGTGTGATGTAGACATCTTTAGTCAGTGCTGCATAGTTTAGTTGCTAGTGTCCATATATGTCACTAGGTCCATTAAAATTTAAATTATGCTTGTGCATGCTAAAGTATATATCGACTGCAGCTACTTCCATTGCACGTTCTCCCTGATGGTTTTTGTGCAAAGCAGAGGTTGATCATGCCCTGTTTGAACATTTAAAATGTGGACATTTTTAACATTATCATGACATGCCTGATTTTCCTGCGCCATTAACATGTGCAGAGGAGGGCAACCAAGATGATCAAGGGTCTAGTAACCAAGCCTAACAAGGAACGGTTGATGGAGCTGGTGTGTTTAGCCAGGAAAAGAGGAGAGTGAGAGGAGATATGATAGCCATCTTCAAGGGCTGTCACATGGATGTTGGAGCAAACTTCTTTTCACTTGCTCTGGAGGGTAGGCTCCATACCAATGGATTCAAGTTACAAGAAAGGAGATTCCAACTAAACATCAGGAAGAATTTTCTGACAGTAAGAGCTGTTTGACAGTGGAACAGTCTCCCTCGGGAGGTTGTGGACTCTCCTTCCTTGGAGGCTTTTAAGCAGAGCCATCTGTCATGGATGCTTTAGCTGAGATTCCTGCATTGCAAGGGGTTGGACTGGATGACCCTTGAGGGTCCTTCCAACTTTGATTCTATGATCATGAATTGGAGGCAAGTTGGTGCCAACATAGGGCTTGTCCCATGCCTAGAAAGCATGGGTCTGAGGTTTTCCGCTTCTCTTGCGCTTTCTAGGCATGGGTCTGAGTGGTTTTGCTCTTGCCCTGCCACTTTCTCCAGGAAAACCCAGTCTTAAGCGATATATCAGAGCAAACAGCAATCTGGAGAAAACCCGATTGATGTTTGCTCTGATTCAGTGGTAATAGTCAGGTTTCCCCGGCGGGGGGGGGGGGGAAGTGGGGCAAGGGCAAGGCTGGATGGTCCCATACTCAGCTTTTACAGATATTTTACTCCACTGTTATGTTCACTGGGATTTATTTTTCTTTCTTTCAGAGTGGAAGAAAGCTTCAAGACTTTGTTCTGGGCAATATTTGGACTCTCAGAAGTGAAATCAGTTGTCATAAACTATAGGCACAAATTTATTGAGAACATTGGTTATGTCCTTTATGGGGTTTATAACGTCACCATGGTTATTGTTCTGCTGAACATGCTTATCGCCATGATCAACAGCTCATTCCAAGAGATTGAGGTAATAATGCTCTTTTGAACTACCTTTAGCTTACTCAGTCATCATTGAGGAATGATGTGGTCGGGCTCCCAGCTCCCCTCAGCCCCAGCCAGGATGGGCAGCGGTCAAAGTATATTAGGAACTATAGTCCAGTGGCATCTGGAGGGCCACAGGTATTCCATCCCTGCTTTATTAAAACAGTACAATTTGTCAGAACAAATATAAATTCATGATCAAAAAACAAACTCTTAGTAGGACTAGCACTGGTTACAACCCCGAGTTGCTTAAAAGTGCCATTATTTCAACAGGACTTGAGCTAAGTCAGTATTAATTTGTCCTACAGATTTCAATGGAATCTAAGTTCAACTGCATTAGACTGCGTCCAAGTCAAATTCCTTAGAATCATGACCTGCCAGTGAGCTTCTTCCAACCACCTAGCTGATCACAGTCAGAAATGGGCTGAACACAAGTAGAACCTCAATCCACCCGTTATCTGATCCAGGCGAGCTCTTCCTATGAAGTAGCGTTACTGTTATTTCCTGCAGTTTAGTTCAGCGCAGGAGTCTAGCTGGAGTCTGAGCATCCAGCAAAACAACTTTTGCGTATCATTTCAAATGACCACTGCTTAACTCTTTTCTCTGCCTTCCAGGATGATGCTGATGTGGAATGGAAGTTTGCAAGAGCAAAACTGTGGTTCTCCTATTTTGAGGAGGGCAGAACGCTCCCGGTGCCGTTCAACCTAGTGCCTAGTCCCAAATCTCTGATTTACTTCTCGCTCAGAATAAAGAAGTGGATTTTTAAGTTGTTGTTTTGCAATAGAAAAGGTTTCCAGGAAGACGCTGAGATGAATAAGGTAACTTCGCAATGGAGTAAACCTGCCGCATTCTGGAATTGTAAACAACTTTATGCAATGCATGACTCCATTGGAGGAGGCCAATTCGTGCCAGACCTGCACCACTAAATAAAATGGTTGTTTTCTTTCAAGGGTTTCTGGTAGAAATTCCCTAACCTACAACGTTAATTTGATGGCTGCAATTTTAGAAATGGGCAGAGCAATCCAAATTCTCGATCTGCTATGCTGGAGGGAGTGTGGAGGTGTCCAAACGCCTAGCCCAGCCTGGCTCTGCTGGCCGCAGGGTTTCTAAATGCAGTCTTGAGTTTGCAAATGCTGCCAGGGGGGTTCTTGGTAGAGAGAAAAGCATCCTTCGTTTCTCTTGATTACAGTTTTGAAGTCTGGAGGGTGAATTGCCTCTGATTCAGTGTTCATTGTGGTGGAAATGTGGAACCTAAACCAATGGTCATATGTGCAGGAAGGAATGTCTGTGGGCTTAGCTTTGAACACACAAACAGATATCCCAGAGAACAGCACTGCCTGCTGACTACTTTTACTAGTTATGGATTGGAATGTGCATATTACCTAAGAGTAAGGTAAAGGTAAAGGACCCCTGGATGGTTAAGTCCAGTCAAAGGTGACTATGGGGTTGCGGCGCTCGACTCCCTTTTAGGCCGAGGGAGCCGGCGTTTGTCCACAGGCAGCTTTCCAGGTCATGTGGCCAGCATGACTAAACCGCTACTGGCGCATGGAGGACCATGACGAGTGCCAGAGTGCATGGGAACGCCATTTACCTTCCCGCCGCTGCGGTACCTATTTATCTACTTGCACTGGCATGCTTTTGAACTGCTAGGTTGGCAGGAGCCTGGGACAGAGCAACGGGAGCTCACCCCGTCGCAGGGATTTCAAACCACCGACCTTCTGATCGGCAAGCCCAAGGGGCTCAGTGGTTTAGACCACAGTATTGCAGGGCTGACAGGAGATCTGCTCTTGACAACATGCATTCATATCTGTATGGACATATGCATTTAACCTCTAGATCCCTCCCCCCAACTAACTTGAAGAGGAGTTTATCTGTGCAACTTTCCATCATTTCTGCTGCTAAGTGGAAAGTAAAATTATGTAGAATACTGAAGGTTCAGGGTTACTGTCCACATCAGCAGGATAGCAATTTCTGCTAAGAAAATCTTAGATCAAGTGACAAGGGCATCCTTTTTGCCCATGTTAACATATATCTATTTCATACTTGCAACTTATACAATTGGGAGGAGACTCCTAATTAGGTAGGGTGGCCATGTATGCATGACCAAAAACACAGAAATCAGAAGGTGGTATCAGTTTGCGTAAAATTTGCGTTTGCTAATTTATGTATATACATGCAATTTTGGAAATAATGACTATAAGGGAAATAGAATGCAATTTCAAGGGCCTTGCTTTGCCTTCTGATGGTTCTTCATCTTTGAAACAGAACTGAGGTGGACAGCCCTTCAATTAGATGACTGCCCCCTGACAGCTCTTCCAAAAGAGGACTCTGTAATGTTGGGACACACACCTACCCTATAAATAGGAGTAGTAAAAGGACATTCCGTAAGCAGGGAAATCTTTGGGCAGTGTATCGCTGTCAAACTCCATAGTCTATAGTCGAATTTGACTGGACTTAACCATCCAGGGGGCTTAGCGTTGAATCCCCTCAAGTCATTGCATGAGCAGAAAAACGCCTGCAAACTTATGCAAGTGCAGTGGAACTTCTCCTACCACCACCACCAGCACTTGCCTCAAATGTGCTCCAGAGACTTAGGGGAACTCTCGTAGCAGATTTGCAGGTTGCACAGGAGGAAGAGATGGAGAAGAAGTTCTGTTGCGCTCATGAAAGTCATTCTGCTCATGCATACAACCCAAAGTAATAGAGAAGGGCAGGGGATGAGAACCAGAGGAAGATAAGCTCCATAAAAACTCTTACTCTCTGCTGTCTGATTCCCGCCCCCCTCACCTTTTCAGGAAAAAAGGCTAAAGTCAATAGTTAGGATGTGTAGATGTTCTAATAAGAGCTCAGCCTGAGCGTTTCTGCATCTTCACAGAGAATGTTTATCAGCTCCCCAAATCCGATGATTCACTCCTGCGGGTAAAATGAATGGCTATTACTTACCCGTCCAATTCTGCTGATATAAACCTTCACGGCATCCTTCCAGCTCCTGTGAGAGAATAAAAGGCTTCTTTAGAAGCCGAGCATCGCTTGCCACCAAGTGGTCACATTCTGAAATGCAACATAACGTTATCTTGGTATGGCTTGCGTACACAACTGAAATCCAGGAATCGGTCCAGACATTGCTGTAACAAGTCTTAACTGGTCCAAGCAAATGTTTTGTGTGAACTGTCAGCTCATGTTAGTAGTGTAATTAAAAAGAAGATTTTCCAGAATTAGAAGAAAGGAATTCTTGCATATGGCCCCACAGGCACTTGGTTTCCTGAAAGCTGCATTGCAAAAATCTCAAGGCAGCCTTGTAAATAAACCCACAAAAGTTGCTAGCCCTCAAAAAACATTTTACTAGGTAACTTTGCTCCAAGGGATCTGTGCTTCTGGGATGCTGCGGAAGAAAGGATGCCCCAGCCCTCTATGACCTGCATGATTCCATCTTCATTGTAGGCTACTTATAAAATTTAAAAGCTTTCTTCCAGTGAATTGGTGGTGGAGGGGTTGAGCAATCCTTTCCCTTCCCCCTTAACCAGTCCTTTGGATTTCCATGTTGGTCTTGGAGCAATGGGATTTCTGTAATTTCTGCTGTTGAAGCACGCAGTTGGGCCCCATTCACACCACACATTTAAATAACTATGACGCCACTCAGGGCTTCCTCCAAAGAATTATGGGGGCTGTAGTTCCCTGTGGAGACGGATTGGTTGTTTAAACCACTCTGGAATTCGTAGCTCTGTGAGGAAAACAACTCTCAGCACCTTTAACAAACCATAGCTCCCAGAATTCTTTGGAACAAGCCATGATTGTTTATAGTGTCTCAAGAAGATGGTGTGAATGTGGCCTTAAACATTCATTGAAGACATTCATTTCTTCAGCAAACATTTACATTTCATTTTCTCCCCAGCAGTTTCCCCCATTAAGAGTTATTTTATCCAAAATATCTCCAAATCCTCTCTCTTGTGCATAGGAGCAATGCTTAAGGAGTACAGTATTCTAATGAAATATGTGGTAAGAAGGGGAAGGGGGAAGAAGAGATTTATTAAGCAATCCTCACTTAGTACTTTTTTCTTTCTGTTTTTCAGATAGGTCAAAGTAAGGAATCAAGTATAAGAAGCTCAGATGACCTCAACTTAAACAGCTTAAGGAACCCTCAAAGGAAGTATCAGGTAGGCTCTAGATGTTAATAGAGTACAGTAACTGTAAAGAACTTGACAGCCAAACAGAGGATTATCCACAGCCGCCCTCTTCCTCTCTCTCTCTCACTCAAGCCTGTTGCTTGTTCATCATCCAACCATTCTGCTTCCCCCTTCATCCTCTGACCTGTCTCCTGTCTCTCACCATCACTCCCCTGGCTCTGAGTCTTCCTCTTCTGAGACTTCCCTAGAGGATTCTATAGCTGTGCTGCCTCCCCAGTTCTGCCCTCATCTGGGTAAGCTGCCTCAGTGCCAGCGACAAGGCTGCCGTATGTCCTCTTTTTCCAGGACATGCCCTCTTTTTCATGGGTATGTAAAATGAGAGTCGTCCTAGAGATCCCCCACAGAAGTCAGCAAATGTGTCCTCTTCTTTGCTTTTCAAAATACGGCAACATTATGGGTCTACGTCAGACACAACTGTGCCTCACCCCATGTGCCGCTACTGCTGTCTAGGATCAGGATGCGCAAGCCAATACCTGAAAGGCTTTTCTGTTTCTCTTCCCCAGAAAATTATGAAACGTCTTATCAAGCGATACGTACTGAAAGCTCAGGTGGACAAAGAAAGTGACGAAGTCAATGAAGGTAGGCTTCCGAAATGAATAGAATATCGGATAGCAGAATTAAAAGGCTAGCCAAAGTTGTTGGGTTTGCCCACCCCATACTTAAATGGCACCTTTAATGGCACCTTTAACAATGCTTCTGTTTTGATATGCAGCGTAACAGCTGCCGTGGCTTCTGGGTTATAACTCTCCCAATAACAAATACATATACAGTGGTGCCCCGCAAGACGAATGCCTCGCAAGACGGAAAACCCACTAGACGAAAGGGTTTTCCGTTTTGGTGGTGCTTCGCAAAACGAATTTCCTATGGGCTTGCTTCTTGCGAGTTCCTGCGGGGTTTTTTCCCCTCCCCCCCTTTTTCCCAAGCCGCTAAGCCGCTTATCAGCTGAGCCACTAAGCCGCTAAGCCGCTTAACAGCTGATCGCTAAGCCGCTTATCAGCTGATCCGCTAAGCCGCTTAACAGCTGATCCGTTAAGCCACTAAGCCGCTTATCAGCTGATCTGCTAAGCCCGCTAAGCCGCTAATAGCACTAATCCGCTAAACCGCTAATGGGCTTGCACGACGAAAAAACCGCAAGACGAAGAGACTCGCGGAACGGATTCTTTTCGTCTTGCGAGGCACCACTGTATAACCATTGGCGTGCTGAGGGGGAGCTAGAGGTAATGGTGGCAGAACCCTGTTTGAGGCCAGCCAGTTCCCTATGCTCCAGGGGGTTGTAAGGTTTTATTTGCCGGACCAAATGAGCCTTTGGGTCTGATTCATCAGGGCTCTTCGTAATGCTGTCCCCCTCCCCATCCCCAGCTTCTCCTTTTTCTTCTAGTAAGCCCTTGATCTTCCCTCTCCCTCTCTTATAGGTGAGCTGAAAGAAATTAAACAGGACATCTCAAGCCTCCGTTACGAGCTCCTTGAAGAAAAATCACAGAACACAGAAGACCTGGCAGAACTCATCCGGAAACTTGGGGAGAAACTGTGTATTGAGCCAAAACAGGAACAAAGGACCTCTCTCTGAAATAGAAAGTGGGGGGGGGGGCGCACTCCTCCTCCAAGCTGGCAGTCCAGTGAAAGCCATATCAGTTCTATCTACACCCCCTCCCCCTGCAATTCTTCTTCAATCATAATTGACACTTTTGCAGCAGCTACAAAAGTAGATACATCTTGACAATTCTTTTTCTTTTTGGTTAACTGGGGAAAACCGGCATTTTGAGCAGATGTTATTTAACCCCATCAACGGAGGCCAACTCAACCATTGAAAGGAAAAGACGTAAAATATGGTTTGAGAAGCCGCACAATTAAAGACTTTAATTACTGGTTCTACTGGTGCAAGGGAGCTCTCTTGTTCTCTCACTCTCTTTCACACTCCCACTAACGTGCACACATATTTTTACACTTCAGACGTATGCACACTTAGAAGTAAATTCCACTGAGATGAATGAGGTTTACAAATTAAACATTTAGGAATAAGGTTCTGATCACTTTCTTTTTTAAAAAAATAATGAACTGGTATTTCTTTAAATAAACAACAACAAAAATACAATTACATTGCTTTAATTAAAGTGAAAAGAAATAATTTCTGTTCCGTTAACTAAGCGCTTGGGATGGACAAGAGGAAGGCTCAATAGAACACATCCGAAAGCCATGATGTTACCGTGACATTACAGTGTTTTCTTCAAATCACTCCATTGCAAGAAGGCTTTCTGGTACATTTCTTTGGCAGTGCATCTACAATATGAACCCATATTGGCTTTGGGTTTCTCCAAAGAATCCTAGGTGAGGGTGCTAAGATCAGTAGTCCTCTTCCTCTTCAGAGAACTACAAGCCCCAGCAATCATTGGGGAGAAATGTTAAAATGCTTTAAGTCTCTATTGCAGTTATGTCCAAGGACCAAGGTGCCAGGAGTCTTGATAATCCATCCCACGAAAGGCGTTACACTGCCAAGCAGCAATTCCTGCGATCTGCCTTGTCAACGTTTAGAATTTTTCCTTGGCGAATGTTTATATGTTGAGATATACAATATGAGTTGCATCGGACTAAGTCATAGAGTTGATACACCACAATCAGTGGGCATTTATTTCAGTGGGTCTACTCTGAAAAAAAATCAGTCCATTTGTTTCATTGGGTTTACTCTGAGAATAATGCAATGGGATGCAACCCAATATATTTAAAGGTCTTGTGTCTAGGAGCAAATGACTGGAACCATAAGTGTTCTTAGGGAGGTACGCTGTATGCCTGGTCTATGACTGCCTTACTCCCTTCTTGGCCCTGATCCGTTGTGCAGCCCTATGATAAATAACTGAAACCAAAAGCCAGCCCTACCTTGTCTCATTTCACATGTTTGTATTGCTACCACCTTTCATCTAGTAACCTCAGCACCACTGAAAGAACCACCCACAACCAAAACTTCCATTAGTCATGGCCAGGTATTTGATGGTGGTTGCACTTCGTGTCTACACAAGTTGGATACAGATAACCCTTTTGCCCAGTGTGGCCCTTCGAGATGTTGTTGGGTTCTAACTCCCATCAACCTCAGCTAGCATGTCCAAAGGTCAGGAATGATGGGAGTTGTACTCTAGCAATACCTGGAGGACCTTGCCCTATACCTGCACCCAAAGTATGTGCAAAATTCCTGTTGTTTTTGTTCAGTCGTTTAGTCGTGTCCAACTCTTTGTGACCCCATGGACCAGAGCATGCCAGACACTCTTTGTCCATGGAGTTTTCTTGGCAGGGATACTGGAGTGGCTTGGTTCCTGCTCCAGGTGGATCACGTTTGGTCAAAACTCTCCACTATGACCTGTCCATCTTGGGTGGCCCTGAATGGCATAGCTCATAGCTTCTCTGAGTTATTCAATTCCCTTTGACATGGCAAGGCAGTGATCCATGAAGGAGGCAAAATTCCTACTTGGCAGATTTATCTTGGGGTTGTTTGATCATTTTAACTGGCATCCAAGCTTTGAAGGCAGGACCTCAGGCAATACCACCCACTCCTGTATCCCTGTTCTATTATATCTGCCTAATCTGCAGATTAGTATGGGTTGACCTAATGATGCAAGTGCCCATGTAAGTCTCCTATTAAACCAGGCACCACAAATAAAAAAACCTGCTTTGCAGCTAGTGGTATGTGGGCCAAACGGATAACAAGCACTGTCATGGATGCTTTAGCTGAGATTCCTGCATTGCAGGGGGTTGGACTAAATGAATCTCTGGTCCCTTCCATGATTCTATGAACTTTCCCCCCTTTTCCCACGGCACCAGGTAGATGATTCTTCCCAGGAAAACCTATTCAGTCGGCTATGGAGCAAAAAACCCCCCGCTTATGTCTCCCAAGGGCATCCAGGGGTATTCTCTGATGACACAATCATCCATCCATCAGTGTAGAATTGCAGCAGTTTAATGCTGACCTGAGTCAATTAGCAGAAGGTGGGAATTATGGAAACGATAGACAGCAGAGAGTAGGTCTGTGGCTGCGTTTGTAGTTTTGAGTAAAGGCCGTAAGTCTTGGCCACTTCTTTCCCTATTCCCCCAGATCAGCCCAGCCCCACAAAAAGAGAAGGCACACCCAAAACTTGCTTTTCCAAGGGATCCAGATCAAAGCTGGTTTGTGTATAATTAATCTGAGCCTTGAAAAGGGCATAGAGCTGAAAGAGGAAGTGGGAAAGACTGTCACTTTTCCAACTTCCCCTCAAGGGGGCAATGGGGGGTGGGTGCTCAGAGGCTTTGTAGCAGCCGGGGGAAGCCCTCAAGGGTGCTACTGCAGCCGTGAATGCCGTGTTCGCAATCCCTGATACAAACATTTACATAAGAAGAACAAAACATTCCCCTTTTGCTTCCAGGATGCAATGGGGAAGATGAAGAATGTTTACCTTTTTCCTTAGCGATCATGCATTTGTACAATCATCCCACTCCCACCTTCTATGAATAACCACCAACAAACAGAGTTTTAAGAAAGCAGCAGTTCTTTGGAGAAATGAAGCATTCGGTTGAACCTTCCTTGACCAGTTCCCTTCTCTGTTTAGAATACATTGTACCCACAGTATACAGGTACTGCTTCCATTTCTCTGATTTGATACTGGAGGTTTAAACAAAGGCCATTAATGAAGTGCTGCGTTTTTTATACATATCCATGCATATGACCTAATGCATACCAGGAAGCTATTAACATCAACACGACCATTTTATTAACTTGGTCAAGTCCTAGTTCAAGCTGCAAGTCGATGTACTTGGGATTTTACTGCTTCTTGCGGTTTAAGAATAAGCAGCATACTCGGAGAAGCTTACCTTGTATAAACAGCTTGCATAAACCAAGGCTTGAGCTGGGCTTTTAAAAAAAACGATTAAAAGCCGCTCTAGTGGCCTTTAAGCTGTAAAATAAACAGAACCAAGATAGACACGACATTAAATGCATCTTCACGATTGATGCACATTTTAAAAACGCACATAAAAGCCACTGGAGTGTGGCAGACAATTATCAGGATCTCAAGGAGGTGCAGAGGGAGAATTTTGCCCTTTTCTCCCCTGCAACTGTCTCCATGAAAATTACTCCTTCGAAGGCGCCATTACCCTTGAAAGTTGCATTGGCACCAGTGGGAGTTTCCCTCCAATGCAAATAGCAGCTTCAGAGGAGTTGGGGTTTTTTTGGTCACAACTGTAGCAGAGGAAGAAAGAGTTAAATTGTCTTTGCCTCCTGCTGTGCCTGGGACTTTGGGGTGAAGGATGGGTAATAAATAACTAAATAACTAATTATCAGCCCCCACCCTGCCTTCAATGGCTGCACTTTTTTAAAATGTGCACATTAAATGCAAAGACAAATTTAGGATCCTGTCTAGTTTGGCCCACTGGCTAAAGGACAATTTTCCTGGCGAAGAGCCGGTTGCTTTTCTGAACATGTTTTTAACAAGCAGTGCATAGTTTTAATATGTGGTAAGGCTACATTTGGTCTCTCTGCCCCACTTGCGATAATATAAACATCATAGAGGTCACAGTGTTTTGGAGCTAGTCGTCTTGTGGATTCTCAAGTCCAGAAGCATTCTGTACTTAAATGCATTCGCCTCACCTCCTCAGTCAATTAATAGGAGAAATGGACTCATCTACTGTGAGCCTTAAGATCACTGTACTCAGGGTGTATAGAAGCTTTAAAGGCCTCTCTAAGGCAGAGGAAGCCCACAGAATATATAGCTTATTTTGTAAAATATATGAAAGGACAGTTGTAAAACTTGCAAAATTGATCCTAAATAAAATAAAAAAACTTGCCTTACATCAGTTGTTCCTTTATCTGGGGGCAACAGAGCAGTTGGAAGAGCACACTTCTCTTGTGCTCTTGATTAGAATCTCTGATGAAATTTTCCATTAAGCAAAAAGCAAAAAACCTGCAAGGAAGAAATTTTTCAACCAATAATCAGATGGAGCCTACTGCAAAGGGAACATAGGGCATGAGGCTTAAGCCTAAGAGAACTCTGTGTGCAGCCCGTAATAGTGAAGGAGGAGAGGTTGGATTCAGTTGGCATTTAAATCTGCACTTTCCCGAGCAACACACAAAGCAAAGCATCCTTCAAAATGAGCACTTCTCCAAATTCTTTGCAGTGCAGCTCTCTAGCCAAGCAGTGTCTGCAAAAATGCATACACCAGGCTAAAGCGTGCACTAAACTGCATATAAATGTACATACAAAAATGCATTAGGGAAAACAGCTTTGCAAAAAGTGTGTGTATAAGGCAAAACTGCATACAAAAAAATGTGTATAAGGATAAATTTGCACTAAAATACTGGTGAATTTTTATGAGGCCTTTTTGAATAAAATAAAATTGCAAACTGGTGTGGAAATGTGAGGAACTGAATTGAAGACTGGAAAAACCGAAGAAACAGAGAAATCTCATGGCAGATGCTGTTCAGGTTTTCTTTTTCTTATTCAGCAAAGAAGTCAGTCTGGAAAGTGTTCCCTAGTGATAGAAAGTTTGGTAGCCACGGCCTTAGATCCTTTTCGTCAGCAAATCATTGGGCAAAAGAAATTGCATCCCTATAAGCATTGCTTGATGCCACAGGCATTCTCTGCAGCCCTACAGCTCACTGGCTAGAAATGGCATTCCCGAATGTCACCTCACACCAGGGATAATGGGGCATGTAGTTCAATATCAAAAGCCCCAGCAAGAAAATCTGTGGTGTGTCTTTTTCCTGTGCCTATCACAGGTGCCAGCTCCTGCTGGGAGCATGTTTCTGCTTCTGTCTCTTGACCCTGCCCATCACTGCCATGTGGTTCCTGGAAGGCTGAACAGAAGAGAATGTGGCCCCTGGGCTCAACCCTAGACTGATTCCCAAGGACTGTGGGGCCCTTGGGGGAAGGGAAAGGACTCCCTTTGGGGTTTAACCAGTGCACACGCCTAAAGCCGTGGGACTTGGGGAGGCAGCAGGGCTGTCTTAAGCATATGCGGCGCCGGGGTGCCCGGTTGCCCAGTCCCAGGTGCGCAGGAGGGCGGAGCTGGCCGGCTGCCTCAGGGACTCGCTGGCTCGGTCGCCCCCAAACTTGCAGCGCAGAGCCGCCAGCAGCAGAAAAGCCTGCCACGGCGCTCCGACCGACAGGCGGGCTCTTCCCTGGACTCAACTCTTGGGCCCTGGACTCTCGGCCTGGCGCCCCTGAGAGCCCGGCGTTCAGGTGCCCCGCACCCCTAGCACCTATGGGTAAGACGGCCCTGGGAGGCAGTGAGTTGGAAGAGCCTCCTTCCCTGCTCATAAAGGCCTTGGCTTTGGAAGGAGGCAAGTAACATACCACCCAAAGCCCAGGGCAGGATAGGTTCCGCCTTTCAAATAGACATAAGCAGCTCCAGCAATTCTGACACAACTAGAGTACTGCAGATCTCCTTTTGTATGTTCAAATAAAGTTACGGTCCTAGCTACCTAACTACCAGTGCCTTGCTTCTTTCTTCCAGGTATGGGAACAAGGGGTGCATATTCTGTGTACGAGCACAGAGACCGTTTGCTTTTCCTTCTTAGTCCTTCTTTACACCAGCCCAGCCTCTTCATTTTATGTTCATGTCACCTTTCCCGCCTTTTTAAATGCAGCCGCCTGTGTGCTATGCCACACCCCCATGGCAGCCATTTTTGTGACTGGCACCCGCAAGCACCTCAAAATTATACCTGTGCATTCTGGCCTCTGCAAAAGTTGGTGACCGACAGAGCTGCACGATCGTTGGCCTCTGGGGACACCGCTAGCCGAATGAAGACTATATCTTGTATATAATATATATCATGATAGATAGATGATAGATAGATAGATGATATTGATACAGCCATACCTCGGGTTAAAGTCGCTTTGGGTTAAATCTTTTCAGGTTGTGTCCCATGGCGACCCGGAAGTAATGGAACGGGTTACTTCTGGGTTTCACTGCTCGCACATGCGCAGACGCTCAGAATGACATCACATGCATGCACAGATGAGGCGAATTGCGACCCGTGCACGTGCAGATGTGCAGACACGGGTTGCGTTCTGCTCATGATGCGAACAGGGCTCTGGAACGGATCCCGTTCATATCCAAAGGTACCACTGTAGATAGATAGATAGATAGATAGATGATAGAGAGATAGCTAGAGTGGTACCTCAGGTTAAGTACTTAATTCGTTCTGGAGGTCCATTCTTAACCTGAAACTGTTCTTAACCTGAAGCACCACTTTAGCTAATGGGGCCTCCTGCTGCTGTTGCTGACGCGCCGCCGGAGCATGATTTCTGTTCTCATCCTGAAGCAAAGTTCTTAACCTGAGGTACTATTTCTGGGTTAGCGGAGTCTGTAACCTGAAGCGTTTGTAACCTAAAGCGTATGTAACCCGAGGTACCACTGTAGATGGATATAGATAGAGGTTTGTAGGTGCTAGAATTTAATTAAGGCTTAGCGTAGTAAAATCAGGAAATAGCCAGACTCATGTGTACTCAGGATAGACCCAATGCATATTTGAACTGTGTGCTAGACCTTGCTAAGCCAAGTGACAAAAGCCAACAAAATCAGGACTAGCCTCCCACATGAGCGAGACAGAGGATGAAAGGGCAAATCTCGTTTGCCCATGGGTGAGTTTCATCCCTCCCTCAACCGGGAGTTTAGTTCAAAAAGGCAACGCCAAAGTTTTAGGAAAGGTTAGAGCTCAGAACAGCAGTTAAGAGGAAGCTGGGATGTGCCTTGAGAGAGCAAGGGGAGCTGCAATGCAAGGATGCTATTCTGGCTCTGGGGGAAGCAGAGGAATGCTGTTGGTCCGAACCCCTCCATGGCAGGTTCAAGTTGTATATATTTGTAAATAAACCATATATCATAGAGACACCATGTATCATAGAGACATATATACTGTGTCTGGAACTCCCTGGAATCTCACACTGCTGCGGAGCTTGGGAGGTGGCGTATAACAACCTCCTTGTCGGGAGATACCTCAGTTGTGGGCGTCAGGTTGCAGTTAAAGGCCTAGCAACTGGCCGAGCGAAAACAGGTAGTAACCGTAGCAGCCGATAACCATCTGATTCAAGAGCCCAGGCCTTCTCATAAACTTTTCATCTCCACCAGCAGCTGTTTTTCTCCCTGGATGAATCATTCTCTGGTGACTCACACTCAGAGTAAGCACTGGGCAGATTATTCAGCCGTGTATTTTAAGTTTTGACCTTTCGAAAAGAGATTTCCCTGCTCGGTACTTGAATGCATTTAACCCCGTGACGTAGCTGCAAAAAAAGAGAGCAGTTATGCAGACAGAGAAACACACGGGTTTGAATACAAATTTGGATACGTATTTCAGGTATTTGTTCACCTGTGCAATCCCTCCCTATCCTGGAGACACTGCTATTATTTTTATAGGCAGTGCTTAATCACAGTTGCCACCGCCTGTCTGGTCAAAAGATATACCAATAACAAACTCAGTGTTTATATATGCAGTTGTTTTTATACAGTATCTGTTTGCATTGTGAAACCACTTCAAGATGCTACACGGGAAGTGATTCATAAATGAAACAAAATGATAATAATTATCCAAGTCTTTTTTTAAAAAAATATCTTTTCTTTGTTGTGTTATAACTTTTAAAAATGCTTCCCCCCCTTTAATAAAAAGGAAATACAGTGGTACCTCAGGTTACATATGCTTCAGGTTACATACGCTTCAGGTTACAGACTCCGCTAACCCAGAAATAGTGCTTCAGGTTAAGAACTTTGCTTCAGGATAAAAACAGAAATTGTGCTCTGGCGGTGCGGCGGCAGAAGGAGGCCCCATTAGCTAAAGTGGTGCTTCAGGTTAAGAACAGTTTCAGGTTAAGTACGGACCTCCGGACATCCCTGCAAGGAAAAGTCCTTGTTCAATGTCGGTCCCTCTTGCTTGCACTTTTGTTTTGCATTTTTCTTATGTTACTGCAGCTTGCGTGTTCAGACCCTGAAACCTCCCCCCTAAATAAATCCACACATGACTCAAAATTGTGGTTTGGTTTTTGGCAGAATTTAGGCCACAACCTTGCATAGGCTCTGGTTGGACTAGCTCCCTGCCATTGCAGGTAGCGTTGACCCAGAGTTCCAGCATAGGTCAGCTAAGGGTGAACACCTGGATAAGCGGAAAGCTGGGAATGGGCTATCTCCACCACCCAAATGTCCCCCTGGACTCAGGCATGGGCACAACCTCCTCTCAGGGGTTGACCAAACCATCGAGTCCCTGGATTCCTTTAATGGAATACCCTTCACATAGGGATGGCGAGAGCGTTCTCCCATCCCTATCACCTGAACCAGAGCCTATCCGCAACCTTACAAGTTGTGATGATTTGCTACATGGCAGGCAAAACCCAAATGGCAACAGCCAATCAGCCAAGTGGGGAAAATTCCTGCCGTGCCCCTGTCTCAATGACAGACGACACACGACAGCACAGCAAGGTCAAGCACAAAGCCCTAAAAGTAGGGAGAGGCGGGCGGGTGTTCCGAACGCACTCGCCGAAAGAGAAAGCTCTGGGTCACGTGCATGGGCATAAATAGGTCCCTCGAACCTTTTGGCCTGCGTCCCATTGGCCAGATTGTACCCAGCTTTGAGGGACCTACCAATCGGGTGCTGTGGCTGACCAATCGTACCCACCCACAACACAGGGTGTCGGTTTGCTGGGTCTCACCACAATACACGCCCTCTTTAAGGGAGAACCCGATTTGCCAATTGTTTGGCGTTCCTTTCTCAGTCAGCAGAGTCACCCAGAAAGTCTTAAGGAATTTCCTTTCTCAGTTCAGCTCATCTGTTGGGGAGC